GACAGCCTACAGCTTGTCTTAGTCGTCCGAGCTAGAAAAAACGTGTACCTGTGAAACCAAGGACAGCACTGAGGACTGAAATGTGTCTGTTCTTGAACTGGGCAAGAAAACATATCCCTTTTAAAAAAAATGTCAGTATGACTAAACTACAATCTAGTGTCTGGATTGTCTCTACAAAGAAGAAAATGAAATAAAAAAAATTTTGCTAGTAAACAAAACATTAGCAACACTATTAAAACATAGGTACTACCCTGGTGACACTGGCACAGAGCCCAGTACAGTACCTACTATTAACAGGACACACAGTTCAGGGAGGAGCCGCTTCCAACCTTCAGCCACAGACATTCAGCAGCAGAAGTGCAAACGAATAAACAAGTCCCAAATGAAGACATCCTCACAGCGTACTGCTCCTGACGTCGGTGCTGTAGCCAAGACTAAAAGGCTCCACTCTTTCTTTAGATTTTTGACAGTGACAACACTAACCATCACGCTTCTCCGAAGACTCTCCATTCAAAGTTTCAAACATTTCACATCCGAGAAAGCTCATGTGTCGACCCCACTTTACAGAGTTTAAGAACTCTGGCAAACACTGCACAGGTATAGCTGTCGCTATTTACAGCACCTAAGGAGGACCCGATGGCAGGCATCAGCTTCACATCCTGCCCAGAACTAGTTACCATCATGAACCCAAGGGGCTCTGACGAAGCAGGTAGAATCCCTTAATGGTAAATGCAGATGGAGAAGAAATGAGGGGGTGTGGAAGGAAGGAGGGAGAGTCTGAGAGATGAGTTCGTAAGAACGACAACGCTGCCACGCCTGATGCAGGAGGGGACCACGCTGCTGCTGGCCAGTGCTGGGTCTGCCGCCACAGGTGTCCAAGCATCTGCAGCCATGATGTTCTTCCATGAGAGATGCCGCTGAGCAGCGGAAAGTTTTTCAGAGCTCTGGTCCCACCCACAAGAAGACTTCAAAGCAAAGCAGCCCCAGTGGGGTTCGGAGTTGTTTCACTGAGAACAGGAACGAAACCAACACCGAAGCAACATGGGGGATCAACGGCGGGGCAGGAGGGGCTGGGCGCTGACAACCTGGGGCCATTGAAGTGAACATAAACAGCCAAATACGTAGAAAAGGCTTGTAAACTTGAGATCTGATAGGTTCTCTTTGTAGCATCTTTGATCAGCTGGCTAAAGAAGGATTTGGGTTGAACCTCTCCATCAACGTTTTTTTTGTGTGTGTTTTGTTTTGACTTAAAGCACATACGTGAGGGGAAGACAGTCTGCTGAGCTGCGTCTGCCTACTGACTTTAAATAACATATAAAAACTTGTTTGTTAAAGGTGTGTGGCACTGGTGTCCTGAAGGGGTAATACAGACTTCAACCTAATGTTGCCTAAGATACTTTATCAGGTGGGAGGGTTTGTTTTCCTTTGGCCCAAATAAGCAATTAAATACTATGAGTGAGAGGATGAGTCACATGCTAAAGTGCTCTTATTCTTGGTGGCCAATAAATCTCTTATGACTCTCAATCTAAAAGAGTATGTTCATAACAGTCATTTACTCATTCATTCAACATGTATTCAGTAACTACCAACACCAAGGTGTACAGCTAGGATATGGAACAAACCTCTGAAGTCACAGCAGGTACGGCAGGAAGAATTCTCAACTGGAGACATAGCTCTTAAGTTTAGGGCCTTGGGTCACCTGGAATAATTTTGCCTTTTGGTCGGCCGCTTGACCTCTCTGAGCCTCAGTTTCTCTATCTGTTAGTAAAGTATGGTAATACCTTGGAGAATTGCTATGAAGATTAGAACCAAATAAGTACATTTATTGAGCTTTTACTCATTGTTAGGTGCTTACCATATATGAAAGTGTTTGTAAAATTCTATGCAAAAATAGCCCTGCCTGGTGTGGCTCAGTGGATTGAGCGCTGGCCTGCAAACTGAAAAGTCACTGGTTCGATTCCTGTCAGAGCACATGCCTGGGTTGTGGGCCAGGTCCCCCGCTGGAGGTGTGTGAGAGGCAGCCAACTGCTCTCTTGCTCGAGAAATAAATAAATAAAATCTTTAAAAAATACATTCCTAACAAAGTTTAATTAACATAAAAAATATGTTAATAACAAAATTTGAAGGCAAGAAAAACTCCACGCCAAAAACAACAACAAAAAAGAAAAATGATGAAAAGATCAGAGAAGATTAGGGAATTCATCTGGGAAGTTTGAATTGCACTTGAGATGCGGGTGGATATTTGGACCTTTAAAGACATGTGAGACGGGCAACGTAGAGAGTAGGACACGAGTGGGAGCAAACAGAAGAGGGAAAACAAAGACAGGAAGCAGAGAACAACGGTGCTTTGACAAATGTGCATTAGCCAAATGAAGGGGTCAGGACTGAATCCCTCAGGAAGTGTAGAGGTGGATAAAATGTATTGACTTCGGCATAAGACTGACTTAGGTTTGAATCTTGACTCCTCACTCCTTAGCGGTGTAGTTCTGAGCAAGTCACTTAACCTCTCTCAGTCTTCTTTCTCCTCTCTATGATGGAGATACTAATAGTAATTCCCTCATAAGCCAAGTTTTCATAATCACTTTAAGTTGATTTGGCATATGTATCATGTACAGGCATTGGTTGACTGGTGAAAGACTATAATGAGCATAGTGGATGTAATCTAAATTCTACAGCACTATGAAGATTAGATTAGAGGGTGAGAGAATGGTTAGAAGAAAATGCCAGCAAAAGTGCTGATATACGTGAAAAGAAATAACCTAAGAACTAAATTCTGGAGGTGAGTAGAGGTGAGATAAAGAATCCTAAGGGAATAAGCCCTGGCTGGTGTGGCTCAGTGGGTTGAGTGCTGGCCTGTAAACCAAAAAGTCTCACTGGTTCGATTCCCGGTCAGGGCACATGTCTGGGTTGTGGGCCAGGTCCCCAGTAGGGGACACACAAGAGGAAGCCACACATTGATGTTTCTCTCCTTCTCTTTCTCCCTCTCTTCCCCTCTCTCTAAAAATAAGTGAATAAAATCTAAAAAAAAAAAAAAAAGAATCCAAGGGAAATAATACTCTCTGCATGATTTCTCATTTGCCTTTATTTTGTGATACAGAATGAATCTTTGTAGGTAGCATAAACAATTTGGAGACTAAGATAGGGCATAAATATAGAAAGATAGCAGTTTTGGAAAGAAAGAGTTATCCACAGAAAGAGGATACATAGACATTTTGAGATGAAAAAAGAAAAGTGAAGGAACACATGAAGTCATCTGCAGAGAATGGGACAGGTTTTATACATATGACAAGAGTGTAGAGAGTGTGAAAATAGTTCAGCCTTTAGTTTAGATCGGGATTTCTTACCTTGGATTCCATCAATTCCATCTTAGAGGGGGAGGGGGCTTTCCTTTCCATTTTAGCAGCATCCTGGTCTCCACCTATCAGATGCCAGTAGCACCTTTTCCCCAACTGTGACAACCAAAAATGTCCTCAGACATGCCCAAATGCCCCCTGGGAGGCAAAATCACCTCCAACTGTCAACTACTGGTCTAGATGTTGTTGGAATAGGATGAGGGGCCTAAAGACATGAATATTGTTTAGTCTGAGACTCTTCCTCACATCTAGAATATTGCTGGCACAAACTGATTGTCTCTGTCTAGCTAGCTAGCTAGATATAAACATATAGACAGATATAGGTATGAAATTAAGGGGAAAAGGATCGACCACTGGCATTGAGGGCCTAGCTAAAGTTGCATAGCATATATTTGTAGTGAAACCAAAGAGCCTGGTTTTATGGTTTTATTATTTTCTTCCAAAATTTTGGAGCTTCCGGGTGCAGAACAGGTGAGAGAAAAATGGAAGCTAAAAGCCAAAGGAGGAGAATGTTTACAAGAGAAAGTGGCCACTAGTGTTACATGTTATTGCTTGTATTTTTCTTTTCTTCTGGTGAGAGACCATACATGTTATCTAACTTCCCATTAAATTTGTACATATCGAGCCCATAAGTGTTCAAAATTATGTGTTAAATTAATTTATATTCTGAGGTATTAGATTGGGTCTGAGTTTAAAATATAACGTGGCAAGAATTGCTGTTTACAAAATCTTTTGATGTATAGGAAAAGCCTCCCCTCAGCTTTTCGTTAAATAAGTTTTCCTGCTTATGAAAGTATTAATGTAACATCCTTCTTCCCCAACTCAGCTCAATGTCCTGTCTCCTCCATTTAAAAGATATAAAGCTTAATAAATGCAATCTAGGATGCCTCAATCAACATTAAAGACTTTTTGGAGGTAAGAAGTGAATTGTTTTCTCATCTTTTGTGAAGACAATGTTGGCTGCCCTGAATGTTTACAACATTTGTTCAACTCACAGCTTGACTTGCCAAGTTTAGACCCTAGGAAGTTACATGGTCGCAAGTTGGTTCGTTTTCCTTTAGAGACACAGTAGTGCTGTTATGGCTTTTATGTTCAAGTACCTTGATTTCCCATAAGTGTGGTTAACCTGAGGAAATACGTGAGTTACATAATCAATTATTTTTTCTGTGTCTCTACAACTCATTTGTTAAAATAATGAAGCATTATAGTCATGTGCTGATTAATGACAGGGATACGTTCTGAGAAATGCATCGTTATGAGAATTTGTCCTGCGAACGTCATTGATGGTACAGCCTACTACACATCATATGGTACAGCCTGTTGCTCCTAGGCTACAAGCCTGTACAGCACGTTACTATCCTGAGCAGCATGAGATTAAATCAAGCACAAGAGAAAATGATGCAATTGAGACCTGGTATGTATGAGGCTGCTGCTGGCCTACTGTTTTCAGCCAACACTTTTTTATATGTAGAAAGAATATACTCTAAAAATGATAAAATGTGTAGTAAATACATAAATAGCATAGACATATATTATCATTATCCAGTATTATGTACCATACATAATTGTATATGCTATACTTTTATACCACTGGCAGCGCAGTAGGCTTGTTTACACCAGCATCACCACAAACACGCCAGTGAGGTGTTGTACTATGATGCTGTGCTGGCTACAGCATCACTGGGAGACAGGAATTTTTCAGCTCTATTATAGTTTTATGGGACTACCACCATACATGTGGTCTGCCACTGATTACAATGTTATGTGGCACAGGACTGTACTTCCTACTTTTGGAAGATTTATAACTTTATTTGACAATCAGCAGTTATTTCTCATCCACATTAACTATGTAGATTTTTGAAGGTGGTGACAGGTACGTAGGTGACCAATGTATAGAGCTTGTCTGGTGAATCTTCATCCTCGTCACATTTCCTGGACAACCACACCCAGACATGGTGTGGGATATTCCTTATCCCTTTGGCCCGAACAGCTCTGCTGATGCCGGCGTGGATGAGCACATCTGGAGTTCCCACCTCCTTCATGGCAGATTCCCGGATCTCTTTGAGTGCTGGGGAGAAACAGTTCTTGAAACCCACTCCATGGATACACTTGTCAATGCCCATGCTGTATTCTCTGGTCACTACTTCACTGCTGGCAGAACAGCCCTTCTTCTCACCATCCTTCTTTGTGGGAGGCATTATGCCGGGCCCAGGTTGCAGAGAAAGAGTGCGAGGTATTGTGGGGAAGGGAAAGAAGGGTTGCAAGCCTGTACTTCTTTCTTATACTCCATCACTCATGACATTAATTTCCTCAGGGAATAACTCGTCATTTGTGCAAACATCTTATTTCTCCCGCCACAACGACAGAGCTGAATCATTAGCTCTCCCCAACTAGCCTAGTTCCTTACACATAATATGTGCTTAAAAATAACTAATGGATAAATCAGTGATGAACAATTGCACCTCACTAGATGGAAGTTAGAAGACCTGTGTTCTATATTTATGTAAATATAGACAAATGGCTGGACCCTAAAATATGAGGAATATTAGGGTGTTACCCAGAGAAATATTCAAGTATAGAGTTAACCCTTCCATTTTCCCCAAAGAAATAACCACTCAGGTGTAACTGTTTATTCTGGTCCCTGGCTTCTTCAGGGATACAGAGTCAAGTCTAAGCATGATAAAGTTTTCATCCTGGCCAGAAACTTAGCTCAAGTGAATTTTTCAATGTGTGTTAAAGATCCAATAAACACATGAGGTATGAAATGGTGCATAATCGGAAAAAAATGTTGAGGGGCTGAACATGCAGGACAGAAAATACTCACAATGTTTATGAAAACAAATGGTGCAAAAATAGGCTACAATCACATTAGGCTTCTTTATCTGAAAAGAGGTAAGCTACGGGAATGTGAAATGTTAGCTTTGTCTTCTATACTTGTGAAAATTTCCTTACATGGCAATGCTACCACAGGTCTTTTCTGGAAGTACTATCTAGTTTAATTATATTAAATATGTTTTGATGAAATGTTTGCTCTCAATATATTGATGTAAAATAGTTCCTTACTGATCAAAAGATAGCATGTGAGACTACACCCATAAATTAGCAACCATAACACAACAAGTTACTTATGCAATGCATTTGTGCAATATTATTTCATTCCATATATCCAGATTTTCTGCATGAGCTCGTTCAGAGTAATCTGTAATTCTATCTCAAGCTAATTATCTGCCATATTCATGCCATGCTCACTTTGGCTGATGTGTGTTTATGTGTAATATTTCATACACTGCAGAACTTCTGCACGTAGTAGAAAATGCAAAAGAATGTGATAACGCCATTTCGAAATGACCTCGTGCCATATTTTGAGAAGTAAATTAAGTTCAAGGTTTACTTCAGAGCTTACTCTAGACAAGGCACTGTGCTAGCTACAAAGTATGTAAAGGTAACAAAGACATGGCTTATAGTCCTTTATCTCAAGAAGATTGCAGTGGGGGAGGCAGATATGAACAAAACAACTGTAATGCAAAGCATGACAACTGCCCAAAGTGGGTACTGACAAATATTGTACCGGGGCCGAAATGGTAACAACGAATTTTAACAGTATCCGTGGGAGGAGAACACATTTAAACTGAATCAATAAATAAAGTTTCAACCTGTGATCAGAACGCAAAATAAAATAAGAGGAACAGAAACCTGGAAGTGGGAGGCTTTGGGAGATGTTCAGAGAATGGCCAGTTGTTTGGGGTTTCAAAGTAAATAGGGCTGAGTGAGTTGTTTCAGGCTAAAGGTTTCAGATTTTATCCTGTGTGTGATAGAAAGGTAAAAGAGTTTAAGCAGGGTAGTGGTATTCTCAGTTGTTATGCATTTTTTTTAAAGATTTTACTTATTTATTTTTAGAGAGAGTGGAAGGGAGGAAGAAGGAGAGGGAGAGAAACATCAGCGGGAGAGAGAACATCAATCTGCTGCCTCTTGCCCGCGCCCTAACCGGGGACTGAACCACAGTCTAGGCCTGTACTGTGATGGGAAATCTAACCGGCAACCTTTCACTTTACAGGATGGTGCCCAACCAACTGAGCCACACTGGGCAGGGCTTGGTGGCTTTAGAAATATCATCCTGGCAGCAGCGTATGGAACTGTCTGAAGATATTAAAGATTAGAGTAACTTCACACAAGGATCTGTGAGCTTCTTAAAGTCAAACATTTGTTTTCCTTATTTTTGCACCTTTAGTGCCTTGGACTCTGCCTGGTACAAAGTATGTTCTCAATAAACATTAAATACTATCATTATGACTCAACAACACAGCATGTGAATACAACAGTGAAGCTTAATAGCATTACAAGAGATTTCCACAATTATGTGTAATTGTTCTGGACAGTAGAGGGGTTTCCCTTGCCCTTCCTTTACAGCAACTCATTTGAGTTAATATTCAAGTGTGTGTAAACTTGTTTTATTTCCACCTAGACTCAAAATAATAATGGTGAAAATAATGGTGAATTGACAATTACAGAAAAAAGTCATTGTTCTAACATTCTCATCATAAGCATAATTTTAGAACTGATACAGAAATGTCAGCTACTGAGAAAAAAATAGAGATGATTTAGATAGGGTAAAACTCACTATAGATATATAAAGAAAATTATTTTAAGAAATTTCCAAAGGTAAGCAGGGTAAGTAATTGCCAAACACACGGCACACTAAGAGCAAGCATTCCTGTTAAAGAGTGTATGGACTGGCTAAAAGCATGGGCGCTGAACCAGGCTGCCTGGGTTTGCAATTTTACCACGTACTTTCTAGCTGTTTAATCTTGGGCAAGATACTTAAGTTCTCACTGTCCCAGTTTTCTTATCTGTAAACTGGGGTTTGTAATATGGTATCTAGTTTATAAGTAGTTGCAAAGTACTAAGAATAATGCTTGGTACATAGTAAGTGCTCAATAAAAGTTAGCTATTTCAAAATTATTATTCTTCTTTTACAGTTTTTAAAAAGTTCATTTATTTATTCATTTTTAAAGATTTTATTTATTTATTTTTAGAGGGGAAGAGAAGGAGAGAAGGAGAGAGGGAGATAAATATCAAGGTATGGTTGCCTCTCATGCGTCCCCCTGCTGGGAACTGACCTGCAACCCAGATATGTGCCCCAACTGGGAATTGAACCACAATCCTTTGGTTTGCAGGCCTGTGCTCAATCCACTGAGCTACACCAGCCAGGGCTAGAGGTTCATTTATTTTTATAGATTTTATTTATTTACTTTTAGAGAGAGGGAAAAGGAGGGAGAAAGGGAGGCAGAGAAACATGGATCGGCTACCTCTTACACGCCCCCAACTGGAGACCTGGCCCTCAGCTCAGGTATATGCACTGACCAGGAATCGGAACAGCAACCTTTCAGTTCACGGCCAGAACCCAATCCACTGAGCCACACCAGCCAGGGCTAAAATTATTATTCTTAATGTAGCAGAGACTGTTATATATTTCCCAAAGTCTGTATTCCCCTTCTTATTTTAGTAATGGAATCTGTAAGTTGTAGTGTGCACATGACTCTCCTGAATAAGCACAGCATCTTCTAGACATTATTACAGCTAAGAGTGACCACACGACTACGTCCCGGCCAGTCATATGCAAGCAGCAGTGTCATGTGGCAGCTTATGGGAACCCTTCTTGAGAGACAAGTAGAAGGAAAGAAGAAAGGGAGGAAGGAAGGAAGTCTAAACTCCTCCTCGAAAAATAAAAAGGGACAAGTTAATACCAGATTCTCTTAAATAGTTTAGGGTTGGTGAGTATACAAAGCAACAGAAACTCTCAGACATTGCTGGTGGAAATGTAAATTGGTAAAATCACTTTGGAAAAACCATTTGGTATTACTGAATACCGAATAAATATGAAGTTATGCAGACTCATTAATCCAGAAATGCATTCCTAAATATACAGTTTAGAGAAACGCAAATGTGTACTAGGATACATGTCAAAGGGTATCAGTAGCAGCATTATTTGTAATTGCCATAACTGTACTAATCCAAAGGCCGATCAACAGCAGAACAGATAAATAAATTGAGGTATATTTATACAATGGTACACTAGTCAGCGAGAAATTGAATTAGCATCCATTGAATAGCAGCAAGAATCAAACTAACACAAATAGTAAGATTCAAAAATAGACAAAACGATACCCTTTAGAAATGCATGCTTAGGTGAAACTTTAAAGAAAAGCAAAGGAATGATTACCGTAAAGTCAGGATTATAGTAATCTCTAGGTCAGGAGTGGAATTCCTCCAGGGAGATCTGTGATTAGAAAAAGAAATAGAGAGCTTCTGAAATGCTCATAGTGTTCTGTTTCTTCATTTGAGTGGAGGATGCGTGGGTGTTTCTTTAAAATACATATTTTAAACTATACATTGTCTTATGTATTTTTCTTTGTGAATATTATATTTCACAATTTTAATTACGGATATATAAAGAAACACTGTGTCCTTGGTCTCTCATCTTCTTCAGTCCTTGCTCTATCCTGCTGCCTGAAACATAGATATTGCCACCTGAGACCCTGAGAACAAACATCGCGACATAGAAATATCAGAGTAATGAGCTGAAGGTGAGTCCCTGAGGACTTTGTGGGGCACAGCTGCCATATCAGTTCTGAACCTTTTGCTTCTGTACTTCATTTACATAAAAGAGAAATTTTACATTACTTTAGAATTTTGTTATTTATATAGCCAAACCTGATATGAATATACCTATATACAAGATCTTCCCAAAGACAACCTCCTCAACAGAAAAATTGTCTGATTCATACACACACAAACATACATGCACACATATATACTCACAAACACACACACACAATAAGGCAATTAATGCATGGAATAAGAATCCAAAGACCTTGTAAACACTAAAAAGTGGGTAATCTTAGAGGTAATCAGAGAAATGCAAATTAAAACAAGATAGTGTTTTTCATGCAACAGATTAGCAAACGTTTTAAAAAGCAATGTACTCATTTCTGTTGAGTAGTCAGGATAATGCTCCCTCTCAGGCATTATCAATGTAATTGCTATAAGTTTTCAGAAGGTAAATTGGCAGTATCTTTTAAATTTGAAACGCTCTCACCATTTGAGACAGCAAAGCAATACGCATCTGTACCACAGAAAAGAAAGCAATAATCACAGCACTAATACTCAAGGTCATATGTTCAGAATTCTTATCATGGCATAATCTGTCAGTGTAAAAAACTGGAAACAATTTGTTACACCCATCAGTAATAGAATGTTTGGGTAAATTAAAGCATATCTTTTCTATGAAATGTTACATAGCTGCTAAAAATGACTTCTATCTTGCTCTAGAAGTTTGTTTATTATGTATTGTGTAGTGAGGAAAATAAATTACTCATCTTTATATAACTGACCAAACTATTTTGTGGAATAATATGTATGAACATACAAGAAGGTGAAAAAAATACACCCAACACTAACATCGGTTATTTGGGGGTCAGGGAGGACTCTTTTTTTCTGTATTCATCTTTGGGTGGTTTTACTTGTTACAATGAGTATAACTATGTGTTGCTTTTGTTTTATGTAATTTAAAATTGGCTTTAATAAAAGGTATAAATCCAAGAATGCAAAATAATTAATGTACCTCAGAGCAAGATGAATATCTTCATAATTGATTATTGTCAAACATTAAATCCATATCACTGAAGCAAACTGCACAAACCTGTACAAAATAAAGTATGTAACTTCAGAAAATCATGTGGTTTACCTACTGATGTTTCATAATTAGTATTTATTAATGAGTAACTTGAAAGATAACCATGTGTTAGTAAAGTAAATAAATGCATGTTACCTCTTGCAACCTTCTGGGAAAGAACTTAATACCAAGCTATGTTATTATGGAAAGGAAGACAGGAGTTAAGAAATACAGAGAAAAGGACAATTCCTGTTTCCTTATCAGATGGGTCTAAAGATTCTCAAAGGAGTGTGTGGCAGGGGGTTATAAATCAAGGTATACCAACCTCCCAGTTCTAACCTCTCTTCCTGCTTCTTCTCAAATGTTCTTCCTCCATCAAAGCATGGCTTCCTCCAGCCAAAGCATGGCCAGCACCTAGCCAGACACATGAGTCATGTTTGCCTCCTCCCTTTTGCTTTGCTTTTCCCCTGAAACTTTGGCTTTTACTGAAACTCTGTGGTTGCTAAATCCCCTTAATTTTATCTCTGGAATGCTCCTGCCCTTGCCCGCCTTCCGAACCTGTTGCATTTGGCCAGAATCATTTAATAACACTGGAGCTGCCACTACCAAGCAAGTTTAGGCTCTCTGCCAGCCCTTCTCAACCTTTCCTATCTGGCTTCTTGTGGCTTCCCACCACCTTCTCCACTGTTGCCCTCCTTTGCTCTGTATGATCAAGATTTTGCTCACCCACGAGGACCCCCTTGCTGACCAGGCCTAGGTATCTGACCCTTAGAAGCCTGGGAAACTCAGGATGTGGGCAACTGCATCCGGAAGAGACAGAAGCCCGGAGCCTGAGGGGTGGGGCAGGGGCGGGGCCAACCCTGGCCGGGCTAGCCAATGGAAACGCTGAAGTCAGGGTCAGAGGTCACCTGTCCAGTGAGCGGGAATTTCCGCCATTGAAGAGCGCGGTAGGAAACCTGCTTCCTCTCGTAAAAGGTCTGAGAGGCTAGAGCGAGGTGGAGCAGATGTGTTCCTGGGCTGAGGGGAGGACAAGTTCAGGATGGGCTGGAGTATGGCGGCTCAGAACTCTCTAGAAAACGGACTATTGTGGCTCTGCGGCGGCAAGGCCCCAGAACCAGCGTCCACGTCCCCTAATTAGGCTAGAATAGAGGATGGGGAGGAAGCACAGAAAGGCCAATAGGACTTCTATCCATTAACTAGAAGCCGATAGTTAGACGGGACGGGAAAATACGGGGGCGTCGCTTCCTGCTCGATTTTACACGGTTAAGATGGCGTTGTTACAGGAGGGAGAGAGGAAGGGGAGGAGTCGGGTGCTTTAGGCTGGCGGGCGGAGGGGGAAGCCAGCCCAGGCTTTCACACTCGCCTGCGTGCGTGGTCTTCAGTGACCCCGGAATTACTGCCAGCGTCTATATGTACACCTTAAATGTATAGCGCTTGTATCGGTATTTGTGAATTATGCCTCAGTATCGCTAGGAGGGAAAAGTCTTGGGAGAGTTTACTCTTCAACCTTGTACGTAAGCGCCTGACCTAATTATCTGTATTCGTTTCCATTTTGGCCTAATAGACACAGGTCAGCCGGTAGTACAGGATAAATAAAATCTTTAAAAACAGGTAAGAAAAAATATTTCAGGAATTGCTGCCACTCAAAAGCCGGCTATTTTAAGCACATTTTCTCTAACCATGATTTTGCTTGTTTCCCCCCCTTGTCTTTGATTTTAGACATAAGGCCTCTCTGTCTCTCCTCTTGTCTATCCACCACTATAAGATGGACTCAAATATCTGTGATGCAAGGAAATTAAGATGCAAATGAAAGAAACGCTATGAGTTTATAACATGGTCAGGGACACGCAGAGGTTGCAGGCTCCGTGCTCCACCCCTGGTGGGAGGCAGCCGATGGATCTTTCTCCTTCACATCTGTGCTGCTCTCCCTCTTCCCCCCTCCTTACCCTCTCTAAAATGAAATAAAATAACATAGAAATAAAAAATTAAATAGTTGTCCTGAGAAAACCACTCTTGCAAACTCTAGCCTCTTTTGCAACAAAATGACTACATTAAATATATTTCAATCCCTCAACTGGACGTTGTATGGATTCAACAATATGAAACTTATATGAGTAATTTTATATCAATATATATTACTACATATTAGATATAAGGGTTACGTTCATAGTTAATTTTGTTTATCATTCAGAGCCTTTTTTTAAATGAATGAACCAAAGTTTTGTAATTAAAAATGATATTTCTGCTCCTGGCTTTGCTATTTTACCAACATTTAACATAATTTAATTTTTATTTTCCCAGCTGTTGAAACTTGCATTGCTTTCAAAGGAAGAAGATATGTTTTCAATATTCAAATACTGTGCGATAGATTATTTATATGAGGTAGGGTGTTACTGGATCACCGTCTATTTACTGGATTTACTAAGAATTGTGATATAAAAAGTGTTATCTGTCATCACTATATGATTATGATCATTTTACAGTTGTCCTTGGATTCATCCTTCATCTCATTGCTTTCAGATTCATTTAAAATTACTTCCTACCCTTAATATAGTTTAAAAATGCCAGTCTTGGAGGGAAATAATTGATAATTTAATATTAAGTTAAAGCTCTTAGGAAACAAATGGAAACTCTTGGCAAGTTTGGGCTGCTTTCATGAATAATCTTTATTGAAAGGAGTGTGGGGGAAAAACAATCTTAGTTATCTTTATGATAAAATAATAGTAACAACACGTATTGACCACTTACTGTGGGCCAGGTACTTTGTTTGATGGGTTATATCATTTGATCATTGCTCCTTTACAATTTTTACTAGTAGATACTAGTGCAAAGGTTTTACAGTTTAGGAAACTGATGTCTAGAGAAGTTAAGTTGCTTGTACAAAGCTAAGAGTGTAGCCAGCCAAACACATAGTTAAGAACTAATTGGTGTACTTGTCATACGACAGTTCACTGTTCTCATGATCTTAATTGACACATTGAATTTTAGTTTTAGGTTATAAAGAAAACTAAAATAAATTACTCCAATATGACTAAACCTTTGTTATATTATACAGAAAATAAATACATAAAGGCATCTTCCGTTTTTATTATTCCCTCATAAATGAGAAGGCAAGTGTGTCCTTATAACATACACAGTAGGGAATGAGAAGTCATTGTTACACAAATATATTTGTGACTATATTGGCCACTTGCAAAACTAGTCCATACTCAAACACCCTCAAACTTTTGCCTTTGCCATAATATCTCAGTTTTTTGTTTGTGTGCCATACCCCCAATACAGTACAAATATGATACTAATCGATGACAAACCTTGCAAAAAGTGCAGGATTTTGTAAAATTCATGAAAACAGTGTTGAAGAACTACTCAAATAACAGGTAAAGTTATTATCAAATGATGATCTTGTAAAATTAGATTAGTTAATAAACAAGAGGCAGAAAATAATTTGAATATTAGAGTCAGAGATGCCTTGGAAAAAATTGATTAAATCCTCTAATATTTTCTAAAAATGCCTTTTTATGATCAAAGGTAAACGAATGTCTAATATACATATTATCATGTAATATGTTTGTGGGGAAATTATGACAAAAAAGCTATTATAATAACTTTATATTTTTAAAGTATCAAATTATTTTTCCTTCTTACTTTGAACCTTTGGTTCTCATTTTATATAAGTTACTTTAACTGAGCTTTTCTTTGTGCCATTCTTGGATATTGAGGATCTCTTATTTATTCTGTTATCACACCTTCAGCAAACATAAAACTCTTGGGAAATAATGCAGGAAACTATTGTTTGTCCAAGTTCCTAAAATAATGAACTCTGTGGGAAGTCGAGAGTCACTGAGGGACAATTTCATAAAGGAGCTAATGCTTAAGATAAGCCGTGAAAAATAAATAAAATTTTGATAGTTAAAGAAGAGTATCAGGGCATTTTTCAGGGGCGCACTGCAGACCATGGTGTCAGTAAGGAAGTGACTGTTCAGTGTTAAGGGAGGTAGTAAGGAGACAAGTCTATTTAAAGAGAACTGTTAGTATTAGAGAGTAATGGGAGATAAAAGCTAGAAGGTGAAGGCAGGATAGAATTACAAATTTGCTTAACTGATTTAACAGTCTTCTAAAGAAATAGTTTTGTTTATTAGATATTTAAAAGTTAGAATCACATTCGATAGGTGTCACAAGTGAAATAATGTGAAGACATAGAAAGCACAGGGCAGGTGGGCTGGGATGGGAGAAATAGAAAACTGTACTTGAAAAATAACTAAATAAAAATTTTAAAAAAGGTTAAGACAGCTATTTGAAAAACATGCTAAGTGAAAAACAAAAGCACATTGCTAAATGGCATATAAATGATGGGATCCCATTTTTTGTCAAACACACATGCACACACATTTTAGCCTAACTTAGAAAAAAAAAGTCTGTAGGAAAAGACACTAACTGGTACTGATATTACCCTGGACCTTGCTTTTCTCAGTATGTGGTTTTATATTATTTGATATTTATAATGAGCATATATTACCTTTAAAGAGAAATATATAAATTTAAAAGACTAGAGGTTTTTAATATTCTGAATATTAATAGATAAATATGTTAAATCTGTTGAACATATTAAAAGATTTTATAATCTTACTTTTGACATAGAATGTAGTTAGAAAGAAGTCTTGCAGAGATACTTTATTGCTTCGAATCCCTTCATGTTTACATCAACATGGAAATTATCATGCAGAAGTTATTGATAATACATTTAGGAGGCCATGGACAAGAGGTATGTTTTATTTTTTATTTCTCAAAAATCTATTTTAAAAATTATTGTAGAGTTTAGCACAATAAATTAAGAAAATATAGTGCTTTTCTCATTAAATAAAACCCATTGCATTTATTCATTTATGTGACAAAATAAGGAATTGAAAAGTTTATACTAGAAATGAATAGAACAAATAAAAGATTTGAAGTCTTAAACTATTCTAACATTGTAAACATTTATTATATAAAAGGGTCTAACTCAATTGTTGGAGGCCTACTTTAAATTGCAATGATACACTGAATATAACACTATTTTTAAATGTATATATACAAAATATCATCACTTGTTTTACTCATGGCATTGACTTAGGAAAGAGGCAGGCTCCATGGACAAGTCAAGTCAGCTAATAACACTTATTTAGCATATATTATATATCAGGCACTGTTATAGGTGCTAAGGACACAGTTACTAATAAGACATAGAAATAGTCCCTGCCCTCAGTGGGTTTTCAGACTGGTAAGAAGGATGTAGCAGTAAAGCAACTAAATACATAAACTAATATCTGTTATTGATCAGTGTATAGAGAAGACATAGTAGTGTGATGTGATATGAAATCTTAGAAGTAAGGAGTGCTGCTAGTTCTGCTGACTATGGAAGGGATTCTGTGTAGAGGTGGACATTTGAGTTGAGACCTGAATAATGAGAAGGAAATAACTACAAAAAGATATGGGGGAGACGCCTTTCAAGTAAATGTGAAGTGCCTGACTCAGGAATAAACTTGATGTGTGTAAGGGTCAGAAAATTAGGCCATTGTGACTGGTTCATAAAAAGGTGGAGATCCAAGAACTAGGCAGTTTCTGAAAGATAGAAAGATTTTTGAAGGCCATAATATGGCTAGTGTGGTAAGTCAATGGACAGTTTTAGGACAGGGAGTGACATAACCTGATTTATACTTTAGAAAAATTATTCTTGTTGTCTAGCAGATGGAAGGGATAGGGACTGGGCGGCAAGAGTAGAAGACAGGAAAGTCAATCTGGAAGCTATTGTAATAGTTCAGAATCTAGACTATTAGGTGAATCTACATTCCACGTAAAAGATGGTGGGGTTTAGACTAGTCTAAATAATGGAGATGTGAGAAGTGGTTAAAACGGGGATTATTTTAGAGGTGCAGCCAACAGTGAGAGGATTAAAAAATTAGAAGAATGAGAAATTTCTTCTAGGTTTTAGATCTGAGCAACTGGTTAGGTGGCAGTGCTATTTTCTAAGATAGGAAAAGGTTCATGGGGAAGCCAATTTTTGGCTGGAATCAGTAGCTCTGCTTTGGCCAGGTTAAAATGCCTATAGGCATTTAAATGGATGCATCAAGAAGGCAATTGTTTATATTCATTTTGAGCACAGCTGGAGCTTCAAATCGGAGTCATCGATATGTAAATTGCATATAAAGTCCTGGAACTGGATGAAGTCTCCGAAAGCGAGGGTATAGACAGGGATGAGAGCCTAGGACAGAGCCTTGGAAAACTCCAACAATTAAAAGGAGGAACCACCTAAGAAGACGAGTGAGATAGGAAACCCAAATGAATGTGGTGTAGCATTCAAAAAAAGAAAGTGTTTCAAAAAGGGAGTAGTCAAAAGCTTTTGTCCCTGTTAAAAGGCCAAGTAAGATGAGAATAGAGAGTTGACCTTTTAGTTTGACTAAATGTAGGGTATTGATGACCTTGGTAAGAGAGATTCCACTAGAATATTGGGTAAGAAAACTTCATTAGAGTATATTGAAAAGAGAATGAAAAGTGGAGTGAGAAGGAGATAGACAACTGTTTTGAGGAATTTTGCTATGAAGGAAAATAGAAAAATGAGGCATTAGCTTAAGGGAGAAACGAGATAAAGAGTTTTGTTGTTGATGTGTGATTTTTAAAAAATTTATTTGATGAGGAAAAAGACTATAAAATGTTTTGTTTACCAGTGGTAATAGTCTTGGGAAAAAGAGAGAAAATGATACAGGAAAGAAAAAGGATAATAATTAAAAAGGGATAGTATCAAGAGCACAAGTGGAGAAGATGGTGTTAGATAGAAGCTAGGATGGTTCTTCCGTTGTGATGGATAGAAAGACAGGGTTTGAAGGTACTTAAGCCAATGAGATGGTAGCATTGGTGGTGAAAGATCAGGTGGTCTTGGTTTATGTCAATGTCCTATGTGGAGGCAAGGCCATAAACTGACAGAGGGTAGGAAGATGAGTATTGAAAATTTGAGGGGGAAAAGTGTTAAACAGTTGTCTTCAAAAGTGAGAAAGTCAGTTTTATTAGGAAGGTGTACTATTATCATGCATCAGTGTTGGATGCCCTTTTGAAATTTATGGTCATAATGAGTTCATTCAGCATGGCTGGATAATTTTTTCCAGTAATTTTCAATTGTTCTAGCATACTTATACAAAGTGGACAGTAGGGGTTTTCCTAAATTAATACAGGAGAAGGAAGAGCAACAAAAGAGTCTTCATAAGGAAGACTTATGGGAAGGTTATGGGATGGCCATGGGACCTACACTGTCTCAGAAAGAAAGTGAGGACATGATGGAGGATGAATACTGTAAAAATGGAAGGGCCAGGGGATGGAAGGTCTCAATCAGGTTGGAGTAGCTTTCATCCAACTGCTCTAAAAGTTCAGAAGGAAAAAATGAGTTTATCATTTCTTCCTAATTATTTTCCTTTTCATCTTTTTAAAAACAGTAACAATAACACCCAAGATGTATTAGGCTCTCACAATATGTCAGGTAGTGTTCTAAGCAATTTACACGTCTCTTCAAATTTAATATGTATACCAACACTATGAAAGGGACATTATTATTCTTAATTTGTAGATAAGGGAACTGAGGTACAAAGAAGTTAAGAGGTTTGCCTAAGATCATATAGTTAATAAGTAGCAGTGCACATATTAAAATCCAGGCAGGGTGATTCTACATAAAAGATGTACAGTAAACTTACATATTTTTTTAGTGAGGTATGTGCTCAGATGTTAAGTGATTTGTGCAAGGTAATAAAACTGGTAAGTAACACTGGTGGCAAAATACAAGTCATTTGACTCTTCACTCAGTTGCTTCTTCTGACACTAGTATATGACATGGTTCCTCTCCTTAAGGAACCAAGGGTCTAATTTGGGACAAAAATATAGATACATACATTTTAAATATATGACTATATAATTAAGTACCAGAGGGAGTGCTACTGACAACATTATAGCCTTTCAAGGAGAGTATATTAGGGTGAGATGGAATGGCTAGTAAAGGCTTTGCCAGGAATAATGTGAGCTGTTGAAGAACACTGTCTGGGGTGGTAGTGCTGTGTAACCAAAAGAGAGGCAGAAGTTGAATGTTTGGCTTCCTTGTATTAAGTGTAAAAGAAAATAGTGTCTAGACTAAATACAGAGAAGCCCCATATACCATTTCCATTAGAAACTAATGTTTACTGTGCTCCTTTCTAGTCTCAGCTGTTTCAGTTTGGGGAATGACAGATAGCTCAATCTTGGATCAGTGGAAAGCAAGCCTCGATGTGGAAGGCTTCCTTGAGAAGTAAGTGTCCTCTGCCTCAAATTTCCCTTTTACATCCAGAAGATAAACAGGAAGTTCTCCAGATAGCTAAAGAGAGAAGATCCTTTCCTTTATATCCTCACAGATTGATTTTCATTTGAAGAAAAAAACCTTAATTTTTCCCACAAAAGAGAGGTTAATGTAAGTGATTTCCATCCTCTTTATCTTTCCCTCATTTATCATATACTATCTGTTCTCTACACATTTGTATTATAAAGACATACATAAAGAAAATGTTATTATGCTTTCATTCAATAAGTAAACTTTTTGCAGAAAGTGTCTATAAAGAGGCCCTTATATTAAAATCAGTCTTTTCCACTGTAGTATAAATGCATATTTAAGACTATTTTCTAACATAGTTCGTCAAAATGTTATTTTTTATTCAGTCATTCATCAGGTATTTACTACATACCATCCTGAGTGCCAGATACAGAATACAAAAGTGAATAAGACAGCCTCTACTCACAAAGAACACACAAAAATATGAAATGGAAATTTATAAATAAATGATTATAATGCAGTGTGGAAAGTACAATGAGATATAGGAACGCAAAGTGTGATGAGAGAGCATCCACCGTGTTCAACATTGTTAATATAGATGTAAATTAGAGATTTGAGTGCAAATGTAAATAATTTACTCTATTGCTACAACACATGCAAAGAGTGCTGATCAGACCCAAGAAGGATTTAGTTATTCACATTTTCAAGTTTTAGTAATTTAACTTTTCCTTAGTTGCACTTGAAAGAAAGAACCAATTTAAATGTGTCTGGACTCTAAATACAGAGAAGACCCATATACCATTTCCATCATCTAAGAATTTAAACTCTAGGCTTGGAAGATAAAATATAAACATATAAAAATTAATAAGATAAGGATTAAATAATAAAATAAATAGCCATCATAAGATCACAAGGCATAACACTAATGCAAAGTATCTGTTACAGGACTGAACTCCCAAGCAGTGAGTAAGTAGGCAGGTATAGTGAAAAGAGCTCTGCATTATGAATGAAAGGATGTGGATTTCAAGTCTTGATTTGAAAAGTCAAGTACTACTTGACAAGCCATTTTATCTAACTCTCACTTTCTCTGTCAGTATAATGATGATGGATCAGTGCTTCTAAAACTTTAATGTAATATAAATCACTTGAGGATCTTATTAAAAATGATGATTCTGATTCAGTCATTTGTATTGGAGATTCTGCACTTCTAATATGCTCCAAGGTGTGCTGATGCTGCTGGTCTAAGGATCTACTTTGAGTAACAAAATACAAGATGATCTCTAAGATCTGTTTTCACTGTTTTAGATTGACAGGGCTGTGCTTTCATAAGGAATTGAGCTAGAGCTGGACACTGAAGGAAAAAACTACTTAAAAGAAAACATTTCAGGCAAAGGAAACAGCATGTCTGAAGGCCCAGAGGCAGGAGTGTGCAATAAGTGCTTAACGAAAGCAGTGATGAGGCTACCTTGGCTCAAACCAAAGATTCATGTATGAGAGAAATGAGAGGCCCTACAGGAATGGACACCCCATCATATCTGACCTTCCATTCATTTTGCTGTATCAATATACTTATAGTCCAAGGCAAAGCAGGTTTAATCTTCAGCACCACCTAGAATAAGATTTACATTTCTCAACCTCTCTGTGGCCAAACATTGCCATGTGATAAGTTCTTCCCCATAGAACAGAAGCAAAAGAGGCCTATGTAAATTCTGGGAAATGTCCTTAAAAAGAAGTAGCATGTTTTTTCTCTCCTTCCTGATGCTTGAATACAGATGTAATGACTGGTTACCACCTTGGACTATACTGATGAGAACTAAATCTAGACATGGCAGAGTAGATCAAAAGGCACCTGAATCCCTGACAAATTGTGGAACTGCCTTACTAGCCGTGAACTTCAAACCTCCAGCCTTTTGTGTGTGTTTAAGCCACTATTAATTTTAGTTTTGTTTCAGGTAGTAAAATTTAATTTTTTGATAGACTTTTTTTATAGTATATTTTGGTTCACAGCAAAATTGAGCACGAGGTACAGAGATTCCCCATATTCGGGTTTAATTTTGAATTATTCAGGAGCCACTGCAGTTTTGATACCTAATGGAACTTAAGAACAAACATCCCGATCATTGACACTACCTAGATTTCCTAAATCTTACTTTTCCTTTCTGTCTCACCTGTCTTTGTTTCTTGTTTCTACTTTTGTTACTTCTTTTTTAAAGACTATATGTATTTATTTTTAGAGAGAGGGTAAGGAAGGGAGAAAGAGATGGAGAGAAACATGAACATGAGAGAAAAACATGATCTTATGTGCCCCAAATGGACCGAACCAGCAGCCTTTTGGTTTGCAGGACAATACCCAACCAACTGAGCCATACTGGTCAGGGCTGTTATTTCTTAATATTAATTCTAAGACCTCAAGTCTTTTACTTTTACTAATTTGTTGGTATATTGTGTTTTAACAATATGGGCATTTTTCTGCCATGTATTCTTAAAAAACCTTGTGTTCTACAAAATTGCACAGTAAAAATAACAGGGCATACAAGAAAATTAGATTCTATAGTCAATGCTATGCAACTTGCAAAAGGGCATTAACAAAAAATAATATCTACCTAATTTTTAAAAAATCATCAGCATAAGTAAAAAGACGTGTTAAATTTATAAGAAATAAATACATACTAGAGTAAATCTAGGACTTTGAAATAAAGGAAGAGTGCTTGATGGACAGGCTAAAGGAAAGATTGAGGATAATGAATTATGGAGACAAGGGCAAAATGCAAAAAGATCAGGGAGAACCATTCAGTAAGCTTCCTAGCTTCTAGGACGGAACAGATAGCCAAATAGAGCAAGAGGAAGAACATATATGAATATTTATATTCTCTGTTCCTCTGAGGCTTGTTACATTCAGATGAATACAGTTGAATGTACGACATTGCATATATATTTACTTCCTGGATGCCTCATAACAACTATGTGAGCTCAGTATTACTATTCCAATATTATAGATGAGAAAGTGAGACAGATTAAGTAACTTGCCCGTGGTCATGCAACCAGTCAATAGTTGGAGCTATTATCCAATCCTTGAAGTTCCAATCTGTATGACTGCAAACCCTATACTTTTTTGTTTGGTTTGGTTTATGTAACAGCTTTATAGAGATATCATTTATATTCATATATTCACTTTTTTAAATGTCCAATTTAATAGTTTTTAGTATTCACAGAGTTGTGCAACCATCCCCACAATCAATTTATTTTATTTTATTTATTTATTTTTTAGATTTTATTTATCTTTAGAAGGGAAGGGAAAGAGAGAGGGAGAGAAATGTCAATGTATGGTTGCTTCTCATGTGTCCCATGCTGGGAACTGGCCCCTGCTGGGAACTGGCTTGCAACCCAGGCATGTGCCCTGACTGGGAATCAAACCGCAATCCTTTGGTTCGTGGGCCCATGCTCAATTCACTGAGCTACACCAGTCAGGGCCCCCACAGTCAATTTTAGAGCACTTTCATCAACACACAAAGGGTCAATGTTCTTATGAGTAATATGGAGATGAGTGAGTTGAGATGATTTTTTTTGTACCTTATATTTTCTTCAAGAGTAAAACAGAAACTTGAGAGATTTTTCCATCTATGATTTTTAAGATATGGCATATTCATTTTCTTCTCCAATTACATTGGGAACTTATATTGATTTTGCTTATTTAAGTCTGTATTGTGAATTATTAAGGCTAAAATATTTTAGGATATCAGAAAAAAGATGTATTAGGATGTGCAGCTAAAATGCCAATAATATTTTATCTGTTGAGAAATTCATTGGAAAGATCTCTTGTGAGTTCAATATCTCAACTGTATAGACAACCTTGACTGTTTCCCAAACCAATTAGGAAATAGGCAAGGTATGGGCAAGGTGAAGGGAGCAAAAAAAAAAAAATAGTGCCCAGGATTAGCAACAGCAGGAAGTTATCAACACCCTAAGCTTGCATGAATAAGTGGACTCAGCAGTATACAACCCAGTTAAGGACTTCAAGAAGGGCTATATGATGAAAGATACAACTTTATAAAAGAATGAAGCAACTTACAAACTGTAGACTATGAGGGAAGAATTTGGGAAAAATTATATCCTGTCTCTCTCCCCACATTTGATCTCCTGGCTGAACCCAACCAGAAACCAGAGGGCTAGCTTAGTAGGTTCTTAGAGATCAGCCTCTGAGATTGTAGAACAGAGTATAAAAGGCTGGATAATAATGTGGAGAAGCAGACATGGATTATCCAGCACATGAGCACTTGGGCAATGCATGGCAGAGTCTAAGAATCTGTGTACCTTTAACTTCATCATTTCCATTTTTAGGAAAATTATATTTTTGAAAATATATATTTTATTGATTATGCTAGTACAGTTGTCCCAGTTTTTCCCTCTTTGCCCCTCTCTACCCAATAGCCCCATGCCATCCAGCAATCCTTCTCACCACCCCCTCCCCCACCTTAGTTCATGTCCATGGGTTGTACATATAAGCTCTTTGGCTTCTCCATTTCCTCTAGCATTCTTAATATCCCCCTGTCTATTTTGTGCCCACCAATTTATGCTTCTCAATCCCTATGTCTTTTCCACCATTCTCCCCTTTCCCCTCCTAGCTAATAACCCTCTAAGTGATGTCCATATCTATGATTCTGTTCCTGTTCTGGTTGTTTGCTTAGCCTGCTTTTTTATATTCAGTTGTTGATAGTTGTGCATTTGTTGCCATTTTAATGTTCATAGTTTTTATCTTCTTTTTCTTAAATAAGTCCCTTTGACATCTTACATAATGATGGCTTGGTGATGATGAACTCCTTTAGCTTTACCTTGTCTGGGACACACTTTATGTGCCTTTCAATTTTAAATGATAGCTTTGTTGGATAGGGTAATCTAGGTTATAGGTGCTTGCTTTTCATCACTTTGAATACATCTTGCCAGTCCCTCCTAGCATGCAGAATTTCTTTTGAGAAATCAGCTGATAGTCTTATCAGAACTCCTTTGTAAGTAACTCTGTGCTTTTCCCTGACTGCTTTTAAGATTCTTTCTTTATCTTTAACCCTAGGCATTTTAATTATGATGTGTCTTGGTGTGGTCCTCTTTGGGTCCAACTTATTTGTGCTTCTTGGACTTGCATGTCTATTTCCTTCACCAAAGTAGGGAAGTTTTCTTTCATTATTTTTTTCAAATAAGTTTTCAATTTCTTGCTCTTCTTCTTCTGACACCCCTATGATTTGAATATTGGTACATTTGGAGTTGTCCCAGAGGCTTCTTAGTCTCCTTGGGTTTTTTAATTCTTTTTTGTTCTTACTGTTCTGATTAAATGCATTTTTCTTCTTTATGAAGAAGAAATCATTGATTTGATTCTTGGCTTCATCCCCTCCACAGTTGATTTCATGTAGATTTTTCTTTATTTCACTAGTATAACCTTCATTTGTGCCTGGGTCTTTTTTATGCTGTTGCAGTGCCCAATGAGTTCTTTGAGCATCCTGATAACTAATGTTTTGAACTCTGCATCTGATAGGTTGGTTATCTCCATTTCATTTAATTCTTTTTCTGATTTTGTTCTGTTCTCTCATTTGGGCCATATTTCTTTGTCTCCCCAGTTTGGCAGCCTCCCTGTGTTTGTTTCTGTGTATTAGGTAGAGCTGGTTTGACTCCCTGTCTTAGCAGCATGGCCTATTATAGAAAAACAATATTGTAGAAAAAAAAGTGTACCTGTAAATTGTGTGGGGCACAGTCTTAGGTGATTGCTAGGGCAGGGCAACCCATTTCACTACTTTGTGGCTCTTTGTGGGGGGATGACTCACAAAGGGGACAATCCCCTGCCTGGCTTCTGGAGTTTTGCCCAGGAAGAAGCTGTCTCCCAGCATTCGCCCTATTTCCAGTCACTTCACTTTTCTCACTGTATGCCACTTGTGACCTTCTGGCTGTTACCCTGGTGCTGAATCCCAGGGGCGGTGGGTCTGCATAAGTCCTAAATCTGTGCAGGCCCTTTAAAAGGAGTCTACTGATAATCGACAGTTTTCTCTGCTGCTCCAACTGCCACTGGTTTTTACAGGCAGTAGTTATGGGGATTTATATTTCTGGTGCTGGAGCCCTGGACTGCTGGGTGGTCCAGTTTGGGGTTGGGATCCCTCACTTTGGAGGTATTGCTTCTGATTTTTATCTACCACATGTGAACGTGAGACTGCCTGTTCAGCTACCTCTCCGTTCCACTCTGTGGCTCCAGGCCTCTCCACCTCTCTTTGTGTCTCCACCCCTCCTGCCCTTCTGGATGAATGTGGCTTCTTGAAATCCTTGGTTGTCAGATTTCCATACTGCTTGATTGATGGTTCTGGGTGATATGGGTTTTGTAGTTTAGTTGTATTTTTTCTGTAGTTTTGCAAGGAGGCAAAGCACATTTACCTACACTTGCATCTTGACTGGAAGTCAGCTGGCTAGTGGTCCTGGCCATGGACCCTGCGGCAGCTCTGGCACCTCACTGCAGTGCTGCACAACTCAGTGCTTTCTCAGTGTCCTCTCTCTGGCAGAGCTGCAGCCATGGCTGCCCTTATCCTGCTCCCTCCCTGCTCCTCACAGCCCCTGGCACAGCCCCCCAGGAAAAATACCTTGATAAAACAAGCAGACAAGTGCACAAAGATATTCCTTGTGTTATAATAGCAAACAATCACAACAAATTTAAATTTTCATCAAAAGGGAACTGGTTCAATAAATTATGATTTACTAACACAATGAGATCCTGTTCATCCATCCAAAAATGAAGTAAATGTACATTGATCAACATATAAATGTACTCATGCTTTACTGTTTAGCAGAGAATAAGTTACAGAATACTGTGTACATGAATCCTTTTTGGTATAAAAATATTCAAAATCATTTAAAAATACATAATTTTTCAGTTCATTTCTTGAGTTGTGGGGCTATTGTAATTTTCTCTGTATTTGTTGGAATTGGGTATTTTTCCTACAGTGAATACAAGCATTTTTGTTAATAAAGTTGTTTTAAAATAAGACATACATAAAATCAGTAATTTTATGTCATAGAAAGACAATTACAGGAATGGTGACTCAGATTAACTGTGAATTTGAAGAAATTGTTCCAAGTTCAAATCCAAACTCCCAAACTGAATTCGAGGAAGCCAGCTTGCATGCTTATAAGGACTACAGTGAAGTCTTTACACCTATTAGATGTTCAGGAAAATGGCCAGAATTTCAAGGAGAAATCCAAGGTAAAACATTTATTTCCATTGTTTTAAAGCATTTTTTACTGATATACAGATTTATTCCAGTGAGTTTGTTCTATTAGATTTATTTTTTAATTTTATTAAAGATACCCACCTCCAAGGTTATAATTCTAAGCTTTGCCACATTAGAGAAATATTTTTCTCTTTTATATTAATCTCCTTATTGTAAACTAGGTTTTTTGGAGTTTAAGTTTGTTGGACATCAAAATAGCCTCAGAGATTTGATCAGAGTTGCTCACAGCACCTGTATACAGGTCTGATGACACAACAATCTGGTATAGCATTAAATTAGTATGTGATTAAGGGGTGCTTATATTCATTTGCAAAAGTATCCTAAAGATTTTCAACTTTTTCTCACTTATGTAAAACTAATTCAAAGTAGAGATGTGTAATTTCAGTATTAGGTCAGGAAATTCATCCAGGTTTTACAAATTAACCGCAAGTAATAATTAAATATTTTATCCAAAATATATTCTAAATATTTCATACTACTAAAGGGTGCTGAATTCTTACAAGCTTATAAAAACTTGCTAAGAACTACCTTTCATGTATGTATAACTGCCTAGTCTCTTTTTAAATTAAAAAAATTAAGACTATTATATGATTGCTAAAATGAAAAAACATATACTTCTGTTATATAATTGCTATTATCATTTAAGATATGCTATAGATAGAGCATGAAAAATAAATTGATTCTTTTGTTGCCACTTTACATAGATAACATATATTGTGTATAAATTTTCAGTGTTGGCCAATAGGTATGTGATGATATATAAAGAGATAAATCCCTCCTATAGTTGCAGAAGAGAGATGGTGTGGTTGCACTAAAGTCTAACCTTCAGAGCATGTTATCGTTTGGGATAGTTATTAAAAATTTCATGGTTTTCAATTTCCTTCTATAATTTATTTTTATTTATTCTAATTTCTTATAAAATTTTGTGTGGATCAAATTTTATACACACACACGTAAAGAAATGGTTTGTAAAAAAACAGGCTACCCAAACATAGCTATTATTTTTAATGTGGCAAACTAGAAGCTACTGTTGGCGAATTTAATAATATTTATTGTCCACTTCCCCTAAAATCGGAATCTTCATTACAATTCACTGAATGAAAATATGCTCGAGTTTCCCAAAACAACCAACTCATAGATACAAAAGACAAACTGATAGTTGCCAGATGGAAGGGAGGTTAGGGGGCTGGGTAGAAAAAGTAAAGGGGTTGAGTACCAATTAGCAGTTACAAAAAAGTCATGGGAATGTAAAGTACGGCATATCCCTGTATTCCCCGAGAGTCAATAATGTTGACTATGTATTGCGCCATGTGGGTACTAGACTTATAGTGGGAGAGGGTTATTTTGTGAGTTAAATAAATGTCTAACCACTACGCTATACACATGAAACTAACATAATATTGAATGTCAACTGTCTGAAAAATAAAAAAATTTTAAATGCATATGAATTATTCATATCCTATATTTTCTTTGGATCCTGTTTCATTAGATCTCCTTCTTTTTAAGGCTGAACATTATTCCCTTGTGTATATATACACCACATTTTCTTTATTCATGTCTGTCAACAGACACTTAGGTTGTTCCCACACATGGGCCATTATTTATAATGCTGCAAGAGAACATGGGAATACAGATATCTCTTTGAGATAGTGATTTCATTGGCCATCTGTTTCTTTCTTCACAACATTTATATCTTTTTTTGTCTCATCGTGCTGACTGAGACCTCTAGTACATTGTTCAACAGAAGCAATGGTAGTTGCTATCATTGTCTTGTTCCTTACAGAAAAGGAAATACTTTAATGTTTTGTCATTAAAAATGATGTAAATACCATTTCATTGTTTACGTCATTTTAAATGATGAATCATTTTCAATGTTTACATCATTCTCAATGGTGAAATGTTAGAGAATTTACTCTGTTGAGTTGAGAAAGCTTTCTTTTGTTTTGAGTTTGCTGAGAGTTTTTGATCATGAATGAGGATTGACTTTTACTAATGTTTTTCTACAACTATTATCTACACCTTTATAGAGTCCCTCTACTAAAAACCTATAGTCCTATAATCTAAATATAAATTGTTTTACTATTATAATCATGCTATGCGTGCATTACCTTATTTTAAAATGTTAACATTGTCTTGGGAACATTTTACCATATACTTAAGTTTTCTTCAAAAGCATGATTTTTAATGACTGAAGTTTTTTAAAATTTAATTTATTTATCTTTAGAAGGGAAGGGAAGGAGAGAGGGAGAGAAATATCAATGTATGGTTGCTTCTCGTGCCTCCCCTGCTGGGAACTGGCCCTTGCTAGGAACTGGCCTGCAACCCAGGCATGTGCCCTGACTGGGAATTGAACCGTGATCCTTTGGTTCACAGGCCCGTGCTCAATCCACTGAGCGATACCAGCCAGGGCATGACTGAAGTTTTTTATGGTAATTTTTTTTCTTTTCAAAAAAATTTTTTATTGTGTGTTTCCATTAATTACTGAAGTTTTTAACCTTATTTATGATTCATATATTTGAGAACACTAACATTGTCTTTAATTTCAAATGTGTATATGAATGTATGTTTTATTTCCAATTATTTCCTTAAGGTGAATGCCTGGAAAAGGAATTATTTGATATAAGTATTTTTTTAGCTATATGTTCACTAGCATGGTATGAGAATAACCTGTTCACACCAACCTTATAATCACTAGGTATATTACTATTGATGTTATAGTAATATATTTATATAATATGATCAGAAAAAATACAGTATTTTTACTTGCACTTTAAAAACCACTGGAGCTGAGTGGCCATTTGCACATTTTTATTTTGTGAAATGATTCTCTCTTTGTCATTTTTCTATTCTTATATTTTATCTTTATATGGCAAAGATATCAATAACTCCAAATCTATTTACTTTGAATTTAACCAGTTCTGTCAATGTTTTCTTTTATGGTTTCTTTCATTGCTTTTATACTTAAAAATTCTTCCTTGAATTAGATATTTATTCATGTTTTGTTTAAGATTTTGGTTTAAGTGTAAAATTAAGAATAAGAGGGGCAGCTCTGAGGACCCGAGAAGCAGGACATGACACCACATGTCTGCCATGGAGTCCCACATTCCGCCTCTGCTCGCCCTTTATTCTACAAGTGAAAGAAAGATGAAAGAGGATACACCAGGTGAATGGGAGCAGGAAGGATCCATTACCCAGCTCCCATGTGTGGAGTTCACTGGGTGGGACAGCATCACCTGTCTCATGTGCCAAGGGACAGGTTACATTCCAACACAGCAATAAATGAGTTGGTGACTTTGATCCCTCACAGTGATTAGAGATTGCGCCCTCAGAGAACTAAACAGTATGTCCTCCTCTCTGTCCTGCTCTGTCTCCTGGAATTTGGTTTGATGACTTTCTTCCTGTTTCCACATTCAGTCCTTGTGGATGGTGACGGCATCAGAGTGATGAAAGTCACATTTAATAATTGGGACTCCCTTGTAATCCTCACCATCAAGGCCACCCTGAAAATCAGGAACTCCAACTTCTACTCTGTGGCAGTGACCAGCCTGCCCCACCAAGTTCAGTAAATGAACACAGTGGTTGGGTCACATGTGACAACTAATAGCTCCCTCATTTCATCTCAGAGCAAGCAACTGGTCAATTTTAGTGTGCGGGTGGAGATGGGAGGACCATTTTCCTATGTGTACTTCTGCATATTGCCTAATATCCAGGTGTACAACAGTGATCTTCAGGAGAACTTTAGTGAATATTTCATACATTGGGCACATGACCAAGAGCTTCTTGGAGATAGATCACTATGTGGATGGTGGAACAAATTCCTCAGCTGTTTAGAAACTGCTTTTGGTTCTTCCATGGCAGCGTCTCAGAAGAGGCACAGCATCTACTTCCAGTGCCTGAGTTCCATACCTGCCCCGGGTGGTGGAAGCAGAGGAGAAATTTGTTCTCTTAATCCCCAGCACACACCCTCCTGCTGCTTAAGAGGAAAACTCACCTCTAGCATTATTAGTGTTTCTCTGAACCAGCAGAACTACTGCCCAGTACCCAGTCTATGCCCAGCAAATAGTAGGCACTCCAGGTGTGAAGAATTTAATCCAGATCTTTTCTGCTGTTCTTGGAGCTGGTATGATTTGGAAGCATACCATTGTACTAGGTTATAAACCAGACTGACATGAAGGTAGGACTCTTAGTGCAACGGCACAACTATTACCATGATCTCATCTGTACAGACAGGGCAGCAGAGAGGGCACATTTGAATATATAAAAGAGCACAGACCATTCGATATGTGAAATTTTTCATCTCCCAAATGCCTCCTTTTTTTCTGCTTTGAAGAGCCAGATCTTCAAAATGAGTTTTCCCATGGGAATCAGGCATAGAAAATACTTAGACTGTTATGGCTTGCTCTTGCTAAAACTCCCTCACTGTGGTCTAAAACAACAAATGTGTATTGTCTATCTTCAAGGTAATTTCCAAAGCCTGAATGAGTTCTCCCAAGGACAGAGCTAATGAGCTCATCGTCATTCCCCTTTGCATGTTATTTTTATATCCTTGATTGTACCTAGAATGTAGACAATAATATTCTACGTGATAGATAATAAATCTTCCTATGATGTAAGACCCCAGGAAAACAAGAAAAGCCTGTCTAGGCAAGGGTCAGGGCACTCCCCTCTTGAGGGAGTGGCCGAGGCACCACAGGCACTCTCCCCTTGAGAGAGTAGTCGTGCCTGTTCCCTTTTTCCACACAGGGTTGTTGTCGCCTGTGAATGATTCTCATTGTAAACCACAACAGGACTCTGCTGGACAGGGTCTGCAACAGGTTAGGGGATGGAAGGACTGAGCAAAAAAGGAAAAGGACTCATGGACATGGACAACAGTGTGGTGATTGCTAGGGGGAGGGGTTATAAGGGGACTAAATGTTAAGGAAAAAATACAATAAAGATTAAATTTTAAAAAAAGGAAGTGCCTTGGTTAAAAAGAAACAAAAACTATATTTGTAGTTATAAAGAACATTAATTGTGGTGTTATGCTGCCATCTAATGGCTTAATCTAAAAAGGGTGGTTGGAAAATAATGTCCTTATGGACTCCCAGTAATAATACCAAGATGAGCCTGTAGGAAGGGAAATGAGTAGAGGGCCTGAGCTTAAAAATGAAATGTGAAAATGGGGATATAAACAAATGCTGTTTGGGTTTTTACTATTAATACAACTTCACTGATATTTACAGAATGAATGTATAATGACCTGTCTTTTTTATTTTTATTTTTTATTTAATTGTTCTTCAAATACAGTTGTCTCAAAATATGTAATGTACAGCAACCAGGACCATCCCTTTGCCTGCTCCTAACCTAAAGTGTCAAAAGAGAACTTGTTATATAAACTAGCCTCCTAAGAGATTGTTTATCTGAACCTGTTAAGTTCCTAACAATCTTGTGGTCCAGAGCTTCCCCTTACACACTAAGAAAACTAGCCATCTAAACATATTATGTTTAGTTCCCTATCTAAACAGGGCATATCTGAGAAAATTTAAATATGGTTAATTTATATTGTCCTGGCAGTTCCACTCTTGAGATGGTCCCAGCTAGAGTACATTACATATTAAGAGTACATATGCCAGTAGGTCATGGGAGACTCCACTCCATCCTATCCCTCTCTCGTACCATTCTAATATTATCAATACTTAACTGAAATACCACCGCCCAGGACAAAAGATCATTGCTTCCCTTCAAGGTGTCTTTTGCTTTTGGGAGCTTAGCTTTCTGAGGTAGTTGAGGAATGGGTCCAGGTTTTAAGTTTCTTCCCTTGGTTCAGAAACTGTTAAAGCCCTGCTACAATTAGCTAGGATTCTAAAGTAACCCAAACATGGTAGGTAGGATGGGGATAGAGAGGAGAAATTTATTCTAGGAATTACCTGTTAGCTGTAGTGTTTCCTAATATGTAAGATATATCATATTTCTCAAGTAGATCCTTTGCTCTGTCACTTTCTTTTTTTTTTTTAAATATTATTTTATTTAGTTACTTTTCAAGTACATTTTTTTTTAATCTATTTCTCCCAACCCCCCTCCCCTCCCCCCATTCCCCCCCCCAGTCTCATCTCTGTGTCTTTCATACTTGTTCCTCAAAATCCCTCCCCCTTTTTCTTTGTACCTAATTTTATAGCAACATGTTTAAATGACAGGCTGACAGTGACAGGAGGGGAGAGGGGAGGGAATTTCAAGGGAAAAGGGTGAAGGGTTTGCAGGAACAAGTATAAAGGACACATGGACAATAATGGGGGCGTGGAAATGGGAGGGAGGGCTAGAACAGTGGGATGGGGTGGGGGGGAAGGCAGAAAACTGTACTTGAACAGCAATTAAAATTTAATTTTTTTTTAAAGTGCTAGAATCAAACTTGGTCTCACTTGTAGCCCTTGCAGACCATCTCCGTTTGCTATGTCAAAGTCTCTGGGGATAAACTGGAGAGCTTAAGAGACCTTGCAGAGAAGAAAAGACTATAGTCATCAAAAGTCAAATGCTATTATTTCTTTACAATTTGTCTAGGCTACTCTTGGCTATTTTGAAGTATAAGGCCACAAGAGATTTCCGTCTATTGATTAATTTTTGTTGAAAAATTATGAGTCATTATAACTGTTTCAGGATATTTACTTACTACTCAATGTACGAGATGATATTAAAATTTATTGAGCTCTTACCTATTTACCACTACTATGCTATCTGTTTTATATGTGCAGTATGAGGAAGAACTAAAGAATTAAAAATGTGTTCGAAAACCCCAGCATTATCTAATAGCTCACTAGTGTCTAGATCCTTTTGTATAACTTTCAGATTTTATTCTTTTATATGTCTTATTTCTTTCTAGATTTGTTGTTTGATCATGAAGAAATACTTTTTGCAGATAATTTGACTGCCTATAAAAATCATCTACCAACATCACATACTTTGTTGAGTAAGCTAAAACCGTTTTTGCTAGAAGACCCCCCTTTAGACTTCAAAGAACAGATCTTCACAGAAGCTAATTTTTTCAGGTACTTAATTGCCCAATGTTGTAAATATTTTAAAAGGAGAAAATATTCTTTGTATACTTACAAGTCTAGATATTACCAATAATAATATCAGTACTCTAATTTTAATCAGTGTGTATTTTTATTGGCTGCAATTTAGTATGCAAGTTGCTATTAGTAAGCACTAATTTAATGTTTTATTTTTTGTTAAGGGAATGTTTCTCTTTTCAAGGAGATTTGAAAGATCTTATAAAAGAAGATTTTTACATAGATAAAGAGAACTTTTGTCGGGTGGAGCTAGATGATACGGTAGGTTTAAATGAAGCTATAGTACCTGCTTTCAGTAATGTTTATAAAAGTGGTAAAGCATACTTTAAAAAATTAATAATATATTTTGACTTGATAATGAATTAAAAGCATGTCAGCTTAGAAATTAAATTTACTTCTAAGATAGTGGTTCTAAACCTTGGCAATACATTAGAATTACTTGGGTAATTTTTTTAATATAAAACTGAAGCCTGAGTTCTACCCAGATACATTCTGATTTAATTGGTTTGGTGTGCAGCCCAGTTATAGGAAATTTTAAAACCTCTCCCAATGATTTTTAATCATTGAACCTGATGTAGGACATTAAGTGATTATGTGGACATTAAGTGATCATTTTCTATTTAAAAATTGAAGACTGGAGCTAAAAATGTTGATTTGTGAGTTATACAGAAAACAGTTAGTACTTGAAATATATACTTGAACTGATCTCATTGAAAGAGTAAGAATAAGGATGGTCTGAATAAGAATGGTCTGAATTAGGTGCTGCCAGTGATTAATAAGGAAGGTAGCATCTTTGCACATTAAAGGTCAATCTTTTCAAAGGCAGCCCCTTGTTTTTAGTATACATTTCCAATTGCACACAAAGTATTATATGATGTTAATATTGCACATAAAAGATTCTAGCAGTTGAGAGTGTGAATAACTTTTCACAGTGATAAGCTAAAAAAAACTAGACCCATGTGGATTAGATGCATTTACAAAGCTACTTTAAATATTTTGGAAAAACTACAAATGTTTTATATTTGGAGCTTTTCTTAAAACATTCAAAGGCAATATAGATATAGAGTAGTTATAGATACAGATAAAGATATACAGATATAGATAGAGAAGTCTTAAGGCATTTAAAGGGTCTCCTTACAACTAAAAATGTTAGCAGATGTGGTAAAAATATTACTTCTTTACTCCATTTCCCCTCTTGCTCACCCATTAACTTTGAGAGTTGAGGGCTTCAGTTCTGTAGGAAGAAAAGGGAAGCATTCCAGGGAGTGCAGTAAAAATCCATTCCATTCCATCTGCCCCTTTTCACTTCTCCTCATTCACCATTTCTCATCTACTGTAGTGATTGTTTTTAACTTAGAATTTTTAAAGTTTATTAACCTAAAAGAAGATATTTCTGCATCTAGGGATATTGTACATCACTAATGTAATCAGTGACCATAAAGGACTCAGAACATTGCTTATTATGTAGCATAATATATTTTTGGCTGCTATACCTCCATTTTTAAAATATATGCATAGCATGAAATTTTTTGAGGGTGGGTTTAGTTTAAAATTTTGTATAACAAACAAATATGTCTGTTTACGAATTCAGAAATCTTTATTTGGAAAACCTAACTAAAAACTTTTTAAAATTATATATTATCTCAGCCATTATTTTTGCTTGACTATGAAGTAATACCTCCAACTTTCAAAGAAGAAGTTGATATTCCATCATTTTCAGAATTGAAGGAGTTATTAAACTTAATGCCAGAAATAATAAATTATGAAGATGAAAATGAAAAGCTTTTTAAAAAAGGTAAGAATTAATTTAAAAATTTATTACTTATAGAAACTATTGAATAATTTTTCTTATAAAAATTGTTGCTCATTAAACTTTTTTCTGAACCTCTAGAGTTTTAAAGAGTGTTCTGCAGCTAATATGGTGAAATTTCAGAATTATTGATGAGACTCTTCTCATCTTTCTTTTTATATGCTTACAAACTTAAAATATCTCTGAAATTAATCTGTTTGAACACACATAAAGCCAAGACACTTATGACTATACTAATTTTTTAGTTGTTTTCTTACATAGAATGACAAAGCCTAACAACTTACATGCTAACTCTAGTTAGGTAGAGAAGCTCAGAGTAAGGTTATGATGCGTGGAATCAGATGGCTGGTAGAGTCATAGCCTAAAATTTAGATGGTTTCATCTCAGACAGACTTAGTAAATATTGTTGAATTCTTTTTAATGACAACTTGAGCCCAAGTATTTAACTTCCCTCATAAATTACATTTGAATGATGGAAGACATATAATATTAGTGAGGAGTGAAGGGGATTTGTGACGTCCACTGAGAACAGGGATGCTTGCTATCTGTAGAGTACGAACTTGAAGGGATCCTTGAATACAAGACTAGATCAGGGGAATCATCAGCCTACAAATCAAAGCAAGGGAGTGAAAAGCCAGTTTGAGTAAGTGAATGAAATCCGTACTAAGACTGGAAAGTATAGCAGAGCTCAAAGTTGCAGGGTGGCCTATGGGCTTTTCAGCAGTACACACATCTATGAATGCTAATGGAAAGATGCGTGACTTTCATGGATGACTGTGGTATTACACTCCCAGCCTTTACTTGGCTGTGATGGTGACTGAGTAAAACAGAGTCACTGCCACAGAGGAATGAACGAAATTACAAAAAAAATCTAATATACTAGCACTTTGGCTGATAGTAGATTTTCTTCCTTTTCTTTCTAGATGTTACCACTAACCATGGAATTGACATTGAGCATAGAAAATACAGCTCCACAGACATTTTGGCCATTCAAAGCCAATATGAACCAGAGAGCAATGAACCAGGTAGAAATTTGGGATAAATCATCGAGTTTATTAGAGGTTACTTATATATGATGTAAAAGTACAGTGCATTCACTTACAAAGTCTATGGGACAGTTTTCATGTTTAAAATTTGATTATTATAATCCAAGGTGTCATATGTTTCTCTTATCTGTTCCTTTACATTTGTACTATCATTAACTCATTAGCCTTCTAGCATCAAAACTAAATAATATACAAAGAGAGTTACAAAGACTGAGGAAGAAAAATGGGGAAAGAGCATTAATATTAAAATAGAAATCTTATAACATTATAACTCAGTAAATAAAATTTTATATTTTCTCTTAGAATAAACAGTCTTCCTAATCCCTTTTACATCTTTATAAATTTAACTTTTAATCCCAAAGTAATCATATCATTATTGTTAATGTTATAATTTTATCACATTTGGAACCTTAGAATCATTTTTTGATCCAGCATAATGCCAAATTGTATTGCTTCTTAACTATGTTGATGATATTCTTATTTAGTTACATTTACAGGTAGATCACATGAATCATCTATTTGGAAGTTTACTTCTTTATTTATGAAAGTTGGTAGAAACATACCATTTATGAATAAATGAGGATCAGTTTGTCAAGGCTATCCTATAAATACATAACTCTGCTAGGTCACCTAGACTCCAGACTTTTTAAGGTGTAGGGTTACCCACTATTAATACTATTTATTTAACATCACCAATATTTAGTATGCAGATTAAAAGAGTACTAACCTCTAAATACTGACAACCCAAGTTGTAAGAATTAAAAGCATTATCACACATGGAGCTCTTAGAATTTGTCTCATAGAGCAAACTCAGTCAAGTTTGGTTATCAATGGGTTTTTTGAAAACCACCAATATCACAGTTGAGACACCATGTGATGTATGCATGATTCCTTGTATAGGTAGAAAAGTAAAACAGTTATTTTATATTTCAAGTAGCCCAAGTTTTACTGAAAATTTTTGTTGAACATAATAGCTGCTAACAAAAAGTTCTACATTATATGTAATTTTATTCAATGTTTATGTAATATTATGATTTTTTAAATTTTATTCTAGAAGAGTTAGGAGAAGAGTTAGAAATGCCATTGTCTCCTCTACACCTAACAAACCAACATTCTTCTGTGAATTCATTATGTACAGAACTTCAGATGTTTCCATTTTCTCCTGTTTGTAAAATGTAAGTAAGGATTACATCTAGAACTCAAATTGCAATTCAAATCAAGCAGTCTGTAATTAAATCTCTCCATGTAAAGGCAATTTCCAGGACAGCTCTAGCTCTGTGAAAGAAAAAAGTCTAAAAGATGGAACAGTGCCTACAGTAAGCAACTGGAGGGAGAATATGAATATACATATACACGCTTGTTTCTATGTGCATAGAATATATTAGAAGGACACAGAAGTGTTAGGTAATGTTAGTTGTGTCTAGAAGGGAATCAGGTAACCTGGAAATATGGGAGCTAGTAGTGATAGAGCCAGGATCTTTTATACTTTTAGTATTTCAAATATGACTATATTACCATTAAAAATAAATAACTTGAAAAGTTAAAACATTTCTGGCATTGGAACAGTCTGCTTAGGATATTGCCACCGGATGCTTGTTAATGGCACTGCCTCTATTTGGCACTCACTGCCATGAAAGACAGTGTAGAGGTGTCCTAATTTGCTAGGGCTTCCATAACAGATACCATGACTTAAATACCCAGTCTACGATAAATAAATTTGTTTTTTCACAGTTGGGGCTAGAAGTCCAAGATCAAAATATTGGTAGAGATGGATTTATTCTGAGACCTGTCTTCTTGGCTGTCTTCTCATGGTCTTTTCCCCATGGATATCTGTGTCCTAATCCCTTCTTCTTACAAGGACACCAGTCCTTTTGGATTAGGGCCACCCTAACCACTCCACTTTAACTTAATTACTTCTTTAAAGGCTCTATTTTCAAATGGTCACATTCTGCTGTACTAAGAACTAGGGCTTCAATATATGAATTCTGGGCCACAATTCAGTCCATAGTAAGAAGTTAAGAGCCCTATAACATTAATTGACCTGTACTTCTGTTTCCTTACCTGTAATATCAGAATAATAACATTTCATACCTCACAGTATTGTTATGAGGTCTTCTAAAAGATTTGCCATAGCCTTCTACCAGGAATAGCCAAGGATCACAGAGCAGTGTGGACAGTGGTTGACCAATAGATTTGGCTATCAACTTACTCCCCTAGGAGTATCAGGGATCACACCCTATTTCTAACAGCAGCCCACTGACCTTGTTTACCTCTGTCAATGTGATATTGACAATGTGAAATTGGTGTTGGGGGAACCAGTCAGGTAGCACCAAGTATTGACCCATAAATCTGCTCAATACCCCATTGTTACTGCATAGATGGTCTATAATCTTGGAACTGTTATAGTAGGACTGTACCATTGTGTTCTAGTTTGAGCCAAAGTTGCATAGCTTAATAACCCAGCATCTTTGCCCTCTGAAAGAAGCCTGAGGTAGCTTTGGTTGCTATCTTGTACCATGTGGCATATGTGTAACTTAATATTTTCCAAGTTCGATTCGTTTGCTGTTATGTAATAAAGCTACCCATTCCTCTGCTTCTTACACTACTTACAAAACTAGGAACATGACTAGTATAGTCCCTTCTTTCTTACTGTAATCCTGGAATTTAATATGTCCTAAAATAGTACAGTTTCAGGAAAATTACAAAAAAATTATAAGTCTCTAACAAATTTTTTTCCAAGAGTGGGAACAGTGGCAGCTATATGCTGGATTTTTAGTTCTTACGTATGGTCGGCTGATCTATCAGAAGAGAATGCTGTTCAGTTGCTGGGAACAATTCATCACACGCTGCTCAGGCTGCTGTTAATGGCTTCAGGAAGGTGTCACAGCATAAGATGGAGGAGGCTGACATTGAGGGTCCTAGTTGCCTTCATATTCTGGCAAAGGATTATGTCATTTGGGGGTTATTATATCTGTGACATAGAGAACTCTACCATGAATTAGAACTGCCCATACCAGACATGAGCTCTAAATAACAGCATGGGATAGGTATAGAAACCACTTAGAATTTGTCTAAATGCTTTGAGTCTCTTTGCTAAAGTGCCAGATTTTGTTTGCAGGACCTACACTGTTATTTTTAGTGGACTTCTACTGTTTTATTTGCTCCACACAGCTGGATCCATCTATTCAAACAGATTCGCAAACTGAAACAGAAGCTAGGAGAAATTAGTGTAATTTTGAATTTCAATCAGATATAAAAATATTTACTTAAATAATAATAAACTTTTAATCACAAAGGTTATATATCTACTTATTGTTATAACTCAAATATCTAATGTGAATTTATGAAACTTAAGTCTTATCTATGCATTAGAAATTACCAAATTTAGAAAAAGACTTAAATTAGCAAAGGTACTAAGGCCATTTGAACAGTTTGAAGAAGTTGTCTCATTACCACTACCTTCGCTAATAAGCGGTAAATCACTTGCATTTGATTTGTGAATTATAAAAGGTTAAATATCCCTGTTTGAAAAATGGATTTATACCTCAACTATGAAACTAAAAGCAGAAAGTATTAAAATAAAAATACAACAGAAGGGAAAAGTAATACATAATATTGTATTTTTAACTTGCTTTTATGGCCCCGGTCACTTTTGTTTCAGAGCACATTTGGATGGAAACATGCCCAGGTAACCCATATTTTCAGTGCCTACCACATATAAAACTCTACACTAAATTTTCTGGGGCTAAAAAGAAAAGTCTCTATGACATAAGATTTTATTTCCATACCAACTGATTACTGAATTATGAATATATTTTTATTTATGACCAAAGAAGATATCAAATTCAGAAAAAGTCTTCAGAAATTTCCATTAAGAATGAGAATATATGTCTATATTATGGTTCTTTTTTGGATATGGCTTGCCTAAATAGTTCTCCTTCCTTTTACTTTGAAATAATTGCCTACAATCTGAGATGTCTATTTACCAAAGGCCTTGGTAAGGTTCAAGATTGTCTAGATTCTCAGATTTTGCCAATGCATGCCAGATTTTTGGATTGTGCAGGTAAATTGGATGATTTAGACATAAAACCTAGCTTTTTGCTGCCCAGGACTGTCAATTGTAGCAGCACTTATAACTAGCATGCTCATATATGTTTCATATGAACAGAGAAACAGATGCAATCAATCCTCACTTAGGAGGGAGTGGAAGGTTTGGGGGACTAGATAGAAGGGGTGTGAATTAATGCCCACTGCACTACCAAGGCTAGTATCTCCATAATTGTTAATAGGCTGTAATTTACATTGACAGTTTGCATAATTCTCCTTTTGGTACCCCCAAAATGTGCAAACAGACACTCATCCCTCACTCACACACCCACAAAGAGTGAAGGCCTGAACTAAACTTTAGGACCTGTCACTTCCTGAGAAGGGAGAGCAGACAGAACTTTTTCATAGTCTGATCCTCAGCCAGTAGAGGCTCCAAAATTTTGGTTTAGAATGAACTTGGGCACAGCAATTATGTAAAAGTTTGTGTTGAAACTACTATTTTGTGTGGCAAGGAGAGTAATTTTACTTGCATTGTATTTTTATTTTGAGTGACTTATATATAGGGTTGGTGCTAGCATGTTTTATAGGGTAAAGTGCTAAAATCCTTCCAGCTCAGGCTCTTTTGACCGTAGGTTCACTGAGGGAGATAGAGGAAGGTGTAAGTTATAAACAAGCAGGTGCACTTAAAGAGCTGACAAGTTGCCTACCCTCCCAGGAGAGAAAGAAGTATTTGAAGTTTGGTCTATGGAAGTCTCTACCTTAGCTTACCCATTTATAAAATAGTTAAATTTTCACTTTGCTTTTTTAGTGAGAAAAATACTTTTCATAAAATGAATTTTTACACAAAAAACTAATATTATTAATGTATTAAACTTTTACTTTTTTCAGTAATTTGCTTCTAAAAATAAGCTAATGAATATTATACACTGTAGCAATCAGAAAGCCACAGAAACTTTTTGAACTCAAATTTTTTTTTATTATAGAGGGAGTGGAGAAGAAGAAGGAAGAGACAGCGAGAAACATCAATGTGAGAGAGAAATACCCATAGGCTGTCTTCCACGCTCACCCGGAGGGACTGAACCTGCAACCCAGGCACATGCCCCAACTGGTAATGGAACCCATGACCCTTCGGTTCACAGGACAACGCCCAACCAACTGAGCCATACCAGCCAGGACTTGAATTCACTTTTGCTTCCAGGTAAAGATTAATTGGTTTTGAATGCTAAATAAAATGTATACACAAAAATGTATAGTAAGTAGAAATGTAATAGTCAGTTTCATTGTGTTTATTATTACCATCATTAAAAAACACATGGCTCCAAAATTAGAATTTTCAAATTCATAATCCTAATTTTGGATTAATGCTTATAATGCAGGTAATAATGTCCCATAGTCATACTAGTTCAGTTCCTCTATAAATTATGATTTGTCCCTATTTAGGCTAGCAATATTAAAGCAGAAAGCTCTGTGCCAAAATATCTAAGATGATAGTCATTGTAAAATCTGATCAAATATCTCTTCTTGTTTAGGTTCATTATAATGAATTGGAAATTCAAATTGAATAAATCATATCAATTCTTTAAAATGTTATCAAATATACTAATTTGGTCAAAGTAGGAGTTCCATCTCCTACTAAATATTAGAATAATTTTAACTTCATAATATTTCCACAGATTGAAATAAACCTCTTATGTGATTACTATTGCTGTAATATTTTAAATTTTTATAAATATTGGCTTCTTGAAGATAAAATACCAGATATGTTTATTTCACTTTTTTCCTAATGTGTGAAAATTTATTTCATAAGAAATTTTTAGTTGTTCTGTTTATTGTATTTCTCATCTTCTTTGGCCTATAAACTTTTACAGACTATTCGTTTTATGAGTTATTGTTTTTTAAGTGCCAAGAACTTAAAAACCCAACAATCAATATTCAGTTACAGATTGAAAAAGATATTTTCTTTTTTTAATTGTATTTTATTGATTATGCTATTAGAGTTGTCCCCATTTTTTGCCCCGATCCCCCCTCCACCCAGTAGTAGTAGTAGTAGTAGTAATAGTAGTAGTAGTAGAGATATGCTGTGTTTTCATCCTTTAATAATTTTATTTTATTCAAACCAAAAACTGATTTTTAAAGCATAAACAAAGTACTCTTAAGGATCAAATTATATCAATAATTTGTTGTCCTAATACCCTAGTAGGACACTCATATAGGCATGGAAGTCACTTGAGTATTTTTATTCTCTGTTTTCAGCATGTCTAGACCATAAAAGTTGTTCCTCATCTATTGCACTTATTGATGAAGATTCTACAAATAATAATTTATCATTTCCACAAAAAAGTCCATCTCCAGGAAAAGAAGTACCAGACTTGTGTTTTTCTGATGAATATATCTCTATTAAAAGTCCAACAAAAGAAAAACCAAAGGATGACCAAGAACTAGTTTATAGACTAATCCAAAATAAAAAAAGTAAAGATTGCTTGGAACTTGATTGCACAATACTATCCACCGGATCATCTTCAAAAATTGAAAAACCTTCTTTTAAACATGGTAAAAAAAGGGAAAATGACTTGGACCTGTTGAATGACTTTATTATGATGCGAAATAAACATGAAATTTGCACCTCAAACACTGAAGTTACAGATAATGATGAAAAAGATGGTACGTAATTTAGTAATACTTTGGTATAGATATGATAGCTTTGAGGACTATAATGTATAACTTATTAGAGACAATAAGAAAATAAAGGTCTTCCAGATAGGAAATATTATATTTCAAAGTAAAAAAAAGTCATTGATTTGTGATATTTATTGTGCATGGAGAAAGATATGGATATAGATATAGATGTGTATTTTCAAAAATTTTTTTAAATCGCATTTGAACTTGTAAGAAAAGTCCCTGTTTGTAAAACTTACTTTCTACAACTTGTTCATACAGATTTATAATATTTCAAACTTTTTTTATTATTCTGCCATTCTTTTTTCTTTTTTAGCTGACAGTTTTATCTCAGTACTTTAACTTATATTTTAATGTATACTTAAGTACACTTTGCCCAAATGATTGCTTGTTAGTCATTTTTACCTATACCAAAGACTTTCTGTTTGAGTTATAACTATTTTACATTTTGCTTATAACCGTATCAAAAGTAGTATAATGTCATATCATTTCACTTCTGTTTAAAAATTGTTATTCTAGAATATGTTTAACATACCCAGATGAAATACCTACAAAAATATGTGTAAGTGAGTATATTTAGGTCTTACTGTTGTATATACTATTAATGCACACAAGATCTTGCTTGCCCTTGAATCATTTACAAAATATGACAAGAGGTAAACTATATACCAAAATATCATCTCTATTACTAATGAAGGGTAAATCAGGAAAAGGAGCTTAGTCTGAGAGTCAAATGGCTTTGTAACTTAACACCAGAATTGGGCAGAGTTACCTACCCAGTCCCAAACTATACTGAACTTGGACAGGATTCCCCCTGGTTGGGTGGAAGGACTGCTTGGGAAAGATTCATGACATAGAGAAATAAGAATATGTGGAAAGTCACAGAGCAATGGAGTAAAGTAGAATAGTACATGTTATTTTAGGTGTCGAGATGGTACTTGGTGTTTAATCCTTGTAATAATAATTCAGTGTGGGTATATTCATCTGTGTTTTACATATGAGGAAACTGAAGCTGGTGTCGGACAGAGAATGAACCACTGGGTTGATGTCAAAGTTCTTTCCATTATTACCACTCGACTTTCTACCCAGCATAGTAGTAGGTCCATTCACCCAAATCGTTCAATTTAATACTGATGTGTTTCAAAGAACTTTAACAATATTAATCATAATAGGAAAAAAACATTTAATAGAGCAACATTGTTTCTTCTGAATGATACAAATTAATATTTTTATTAGAATTTCAAAATAAAGAAGATACTTTGACTCCTCAAGAAGAAAGTCCTGTTGTTTACACTAATAAAACTCTAGAGAAAATAAATTGTGAAAGGGGAGCAGATAATGTCATTGAGATTCAAGCATCAGGTATGCTATATACATTTTAAAATCATTTCTATTGTTATTCTATTACAGTTGGTCCAATTTCTCCCCTTTGCCCTCCCGCGCATCCCACCCCGTATTCCCACACTGTTGTCCGTGTCCATGGGTCATTCATACATGTTGCCTAGTCCTTTCCCCATCTTTTCACCATTATCCCCCTCCCCACTCCCCTCTGGTCACTTTCAGTTTGTTCCATGTTTCCATGCCTGTGGTCCTATTTTTTTTGTTAGTTTATTTTGATTCCTCTGACAGGTGAGATCATACGGTATTTGTCTTACCCTGCCTGGCTTATTTCACTTAGCGTAGTATTCTCCAGTTCCATCCATGCCGTCATGAAGGGTAGGAGTTCCTTCTTTCTGCTGCATATTATTCCATTGTATAAATGTACCACTGTTTTTTGATCCACTCATTTACCGATGGGCACTTCGGTTGTTTCTAGCACTTGGCTATACATAGATCAATGGAACAGAATAGAGAACCCGGAAATAAACCCAAGTCTCTATGGTCAATTAATATTTGACAAAGGTACAGGAGCATACAATGGAATAAAGATAGCCTCATTGATAAATAATGTTGGGAAAACTGGATTGGTACATGCAAAAAAATGAAACTAGACCACCAACTTATACCATACACCAGAATAAACTCAAAATAGATTAAAGACTTAAATTGTGACACTATATGCTTTTAAGACACACTCAAATTAAGTAAATTTGAAAGCCCTTTCTTTCCTGGGTATCTAGGATATACCTCATTTTCCAGGTAACTTTCTTTACTTGTTTCAGATATTTCTTTATTCCACTTCTACTTTCAAGTTATTTCCAAACCTGCAACGCCCTATTCACTGCCTCTGCCTTCCCCTTTACTGTACTCCAGTCCACTAAGTGTTATTTCTTCTTTTATTTATTTTTTCTTTTTTTAAATATATTTTATTAATTATGCCATTACAGTTGTTCTATTCCCCCTTCATTCCCCTCCACCCTGCATACCCCTCCCCCAACATTCTCCTCCCTTTAGTTTATGACCACGTGTCTCAAGTTCTTTAGATTCTATATTTCCCATGCTATTCTTGCCCTCCCCCTATCTATTTTCTACCTACTGTCTATGCTACTTATTTTCTGTATCTTCTCCCCCCTTCTCCTTCTCCCACTCCCCTGTTGCTAACCCTCCACGTGATCTTCATTTCTATGGTTCTGCTCCTGATCTAGCTGTCCTCTTAGTTTGCTTTTGTTTTAGGTGTGGTTGTTAATAACTGTGAGTTTGCTGTCCTTTCACTGTTCATCTTTTTTATGTTATTTTTCTTAGGTAAGTCCCTTTAACATTTCATATAACAAGGGCTTGGTGATGATGAACTCCTTGAATTTGATCTTATCTGAGAAGCACTTTATCTGTCCTTCCATTCTAAATGAAAGTTTTGCTAGATAGAGTAATCTTGGTTGTAGGTCTTTGGATTTCATGACTTGGAATACCTCTTTCCAGCCCCTTCTTGCCTGTAAGGTCTCTTTTGAGAAATCAGCTGACGGTCTGATGGGAACTCCTTTGTAGGTGACTGTCCCCTTACCTCTTGCTGCTTCTAGGGTTCTCTCCTTCATTTTCATCTTGGCTAATGTAATTATGATGTGCCTTGGTGTGTTCCTTCTTGGGTCCAACTTCTTTGGGACTCTCTGAGCTTCCTGAATTTTCCGGAAGTCTATTTCCTTGGCCAGATTGGGGAAGTTCTCCTTTATTATTTGTTCAAATAAGTTTTGCACTTGATCTTTTTCTTCCCCTTCTGGTACCCCTATAATTTGGATGTTGGAGTGTTTAAAGATGTCCTGGATGTTCCTAAGCCTCTTCTCGTTTTTTTAAATTCTTGTTTCTTCATATTTTCCTGTTTGGCCATTATTTTCTTCCTTCTGGTTCACTCCCTTGATTTGAGTCCCAGTTTCCTCTTCATCACTATTGGTTTCCTGTGCAATTCCCTTCTTTTCAATTAGTTTAGCCTTCATATGTTTCCCTAATTTGTGACTGTAATCAACCAGTTCTGTGAGCATCCTGATGACCAGTGTTTTGAATGTGCATCTGAAAGTTTTGCTATTTCTTCGTCACTTAGATTTATGGGCTCTGGGGCTTTGAGATCTTCTTGAGCCATTTTTGGTCTGTTCGTACCCGTTAATTATGAGGAGCAGAGCCTTAGGTGTTTACCAGGGCGGGGCGCCCAGGTCTCTGGGTTGTGATGCTGTATGTGGGGGCAGGATCAGAGCGGGGAAACGGAGGCCCCCTCTGCTGCCTCTCACTGCTGGGGCCTGCTTGGTCCCGTCATCTCACTTCCCACTCCCTCGCTGGTCTATCTGCGCAAGAATGCAGGACCATAGTCAACCTGCTGCCCTGCATCCTTGCTGGGTACCTGGTCGCTCATTGGGTCGCTCTTTGCCCCTCTTACTGGTCAGGCTGAAGAATTTGTTGTTATCAGACTTCCAAAAAGTTCAATTTTTTGTGTTCTGGCTGTGTTTTCTGTTGCTAATATTTTGTTGTCTCTCAACTTGGTTGTGGGAGAAAGCATGGCATCTCCACCTATGCCTCCATCCTGGCAGAAGTCTTATTTCTTCTTTTAAACTGCTACTTCCCTACATTAAAACAGGGAAGAGCAAACAATTCAGGCTCTTGTGCCTAGTCTAGAAAATGATCTGTTAATGGTTGTCTTTTCTAGTCCCTCACCTACTATCAGAGTATTGTAAATAAGCTGTTATTGACTCCTCTGCTAATCAAACTTTTTGTTCTGATGTAAAGAAGAATATTCTTTGACTCCTAAAGAACAGCCTTCTTTAGAACATCATGCTCATTATTAAAGTCAGTAAGAAAATACGATAGTGGTCCTTGAACATTTTTTCATTCCTTTGGTTCAGTTTTACTTATGACCTTCAGGTGATTATGCAAGTCTTTAAAATTTAATATTCTGGTGAAAATCAGAAACAGTTTGTTGTTATAAATTTGTTTGGCTTATGGTTGTAAGCTAATAGTTGAAAGAAAAAAATGTCCATTTCTCTTCATATGGCTCTTCATAGTTGTCATGTTGTTAGTTACTGAATAAATCCTTTCTAATAAATAAGATAGCCATGAAATTATACTAATTGTACATGGGAAGGTGTTTTTTTTCTAGTTTATTCAGCATAAACATCTTAAATTAGCTTCTATACAATCTTATGTACAATATCATTTTTAACTCAGTAAAGAATTTAGAGTTCAGTTTTCCATAGAGTAACATGTTAACTTGGCTTGTCAAAAAGAGCACACAGTCTTTATAAAACTACTGCTTTTAATGCTTTTATTTTTACAGAGAGCCAGTGCCAAGCGTACTGTATCCTTGAAGCAGCAGCTACTCCTATCTTAAAAAAACTTGGGTGCCTCTGTACTCTCCCTGTTGCTAATTGGAAATTTGCCACTGTTATTTTTGATCAAACAAGATTCCTCTTAAAGGAACAAGAAAAAGTAGTAAGTGATGCTATTCATCAAGGTGAGTGCAAATATAAGTATGTTATTGAAAAGAATATACATTTGTAGATTATGTATCAAATTAGTAAAAAATATAGAATGTGCAGAAATTAATCATGGATGAAGGCAGCATATGGCACCCACACACCCAAACTGGAGAATCAGCTAAGTAAGGAGCAAAGGGTAAGAGATGTCATCTGGTGTTGCTTCCTAGTGAAGCTCCATTGACATACACAGGGTGGGGCAAAAGTAAGTTCACAGTTGTTGTTATAGAAAATAATACAATAATTAATAAGTAATAGTACAAAAATACTTCACACACTCAAAATTGTAAATCTACTTTTGCCCTACACTACTTAATTACTTGACAGATTCCTATTACAGAAACAAAATTAACCCTATTAATGGTAGCATCTGAACCACCTAGTGTCCTTCCAAAAAAGAGAGGAAGGTAAAAAATAATCACATTAAAGTCAATTCTGGACATTTGCTTCTGGCTACGATGTAGTAACAGAGGTTAGATTTAACATCCTCCCCAAAATACAGAAAAAAATGACAAAGACAAAATACATGAGACCAGACTTTTAAGAGCTTAGACATCAAGCAATGAAGAACAGGTGTTCCTGGGACATGGAAAACAAGTGAGATGGGTCCTACCATTGCTCTGAGATACTGCTTCGAAGGAGTTGCCAGCCCAGGACACAGGTGCCTGAGGCAGAGCCAGCGGGCAATCTGAGCTAAGGAAACAGAATGGGGAAGCCAAGAAGACCGAGGCAGCTAGAGTTAAAAGGGTAGAATATTAGAGCAGAGAGCTTCACACAGAGTCCTGGAGATCTACAGAGAGTCTCCATCTCCCTCAAGTTTTCAGCAAAATACAAATCACAGAGTATATGCAAGGTTGGGGAACTACCTGACATTGCAGAAACAAAACCATCTGAAAGGATTGGTGGAATAGCATGCTGCATTCACACAGGGCAGAGAATATGCCACCAGCTGGTCAAGAAAAACTCATACTTCGTGGGGTATTAAGTACAGTATTTAGGAAAGTTTTGCCCAGTAGTGGGGAATAATTATCTCTAGACTTAGCACTGCTCTGGATCTGCCTAACAAATTATAAAACCAAAGGATCAAACTATTTCCAAGGAACTTAACTGCATCCCAGAACAAAGCTAAAGATTATTATTTATATAAATACAAAAATACGGCCCTGGCTGGTGTGGCTCAGTGGATTGAGTGCTGGCCTGCAAACTAAAGGGTTGCCTGTGTGACTCCCAGTCAGGGCACATGCCTGCGTCACAGGCCAGGTCCCCAGTAGGAGGCACACAAGAGGCAATCACACATTGATGTTTCTCTCCCTTTCTTTCTCCTTCCTTTCTTCTCTCTAGAAATAAATAAATAAAATCTTTAAAAAATATATGTAGCTCCCAATAAGGTGAAATCCACAATGTCCAGCATTCAGTCAAAGATTATCAGGCATAGTAAGAGACAGGAAAACACAACCCACAATGAGATTAATCAATTAAAACAAACTCAGACATGACAAAGATGTTAACATCAGCAGAGAAAGACACTGAACCTTATAACTGTATCCCAAATCAAACTTCTAGAGACCACACTACAATGTATGAGATGAAAAATGCACTGGATGGGGTTCATGGCAGATTAAATATTGCAGAAGAAAATGTTAGTTAACTTAAAGTTATAGCAATGGAAACACCCAAATAAAACACAGGTAGATAAAAGAATTTTTAAAAAGAAACAAACAAAAGAGTGATAGTGGACTGAGAAGCAATTTCAAATATTCTAACATACTATGAGTTCTCAAATCAGATGTAAAATAAGGGTAAACAGAAGAATAAATGTTTGAGGAAATAATGACTATAAGCTTTCTAAATTTCACTACAAATCCACAGATCCAAAAAACTCAGTGAACCCCAAGGACAAGAAATATAATAAAGCTGTACCAAGGCATATCATAATAAAATTCATCAAAGTCAGTAATAAATAGAAAATTAGTAGGAGCAGCCACAGGGAAAAAGATATATTGCACTGGAGACACAAAGATAAGGATGACATCAGATTTCTCATCAGAAATAATGCAAATGAAAAAGACAGTGAAGTAACATCTTTAAAATCCTGAGGGAGAAAAATTTCATCAACCTAGCTTTTTATACTAAGCAAAAATACAGAGTCCCACACAAATAACACTCCTTTTTATTACAAAATCATAAGCATGTAATCGCATAATGTAACAATATCACACTCAAGCATACCACATGACATTTAAGCGAAATGTTCAAATTAAAACTATAAATTATTACAACCATATTATTACCCTGCCAACCACACTCATGCAGGCATTACTTCTGCCAGACCCTGTATATCACAAAAACAAAGGTGAGATAGAGATGTTTTCGGACATACTGAAGCTGGAAGAATTCATCAGGTGCAGACTTACACTGTGAAAAATGTTCTGCTAAGAGTAGAATAAAAAAATCAAATCTGGTTTCTCTGTTCTGTTCTCATCCCATCCAGGTGATGGCTGACTTGCTTCCACAGGTCATTCCCAGGGATGGATATACTACCCATAATCAGTTTTTCTGTTGTCTTTGATACCCAGTAATTAACTACTACATTTTCCTTGTCTTTATTGATTAGATCAGCAGTTTTCAAATGTTGTAGCAGAATTCTCTTAAAATAAATATTTCATGGGATCCCACTATACAAAACAGAGAAAAGTAGAGTTTCTCTGGTTAAATTGGGGCAGCGGGTCTAGAATCCTGTCGTCTTGGTCTCACTTCTGTACACAGTGAAATTCCAGCTATCATCATCAAAAGACAATTGGCCTGTCCCTGTGAATACATCTCTTTTTTAAGTCATATCTTTAGACAAATATTCTCAGGTGTCTATTTTCATTTGAAGGTATTGCTTTATGTTATGAGTCTTTACCTTTAGTTTGACCAGTTAGCAAGCTATGAGTTTAATTTTTTTCTTGTTTCGTAACTAGAAATCACTGACCTTTTTTCCTACCTAGAGTAGAAATAATTAAATATTCTTTGGAGGCAAAAAGAGTGTGAGCTTTAAAGTTAGCTCTCTGGGTTTGCATGCTAGCCCCACCGTTTATTCACAAATTGACGCTGGATAATTACTTAATGTCATTAACACTAGTTTCTCACCCATAAAATAAGGGCCATAATAAACTTGCCTGGTAGGGTTATCATTATAAATTTAATGAAATTACCATCTTATACACAGCCTGGCATAGTAAACACTCCATAATAAATATTAGCTACTATTGTTAAACATTCTGATACATACTCTAAAATTCTAATATATATCCTATGCTTTTAAATTTTTTTGATTACTTAGGTACAAATGATGAGAGAGACATGACGTTCAAGCAGGCGGGTCTCTTACACCTTCTGGTCACAATTCGTGATATCCTTTTAACATGTAGCTTGGACACAGCATTGGGTCAGTGGGGAAAATTTAAAATTTTCCTTTTCTTCCTATTGAAATATTTAATCCAAAATAATTTTTAATTTTCTGAAAAAGATGAAACTTATAAGAAATTACATAGCTTCTTTTACTTCTGTGTTAAACATTATATACATTTTAACATAATTATAATGAAATATATATTTTACTTTGTTTATATTCATTAAAAGGAATTAACTATAACAAGTATCAGCACCTAAAATATAGGTTTAGTATTCCCTTACCTAGTCCTGAATTACAGAGTCCTGGTGGCTTTAAGCATATTTGATTATATAATCATTATCATGCACTAATTTTTAGTGTAAGATGACATTTTGCCATATACATTTTAGGCCCTTATTGAATGTCTGTGGCTTTTCATCTTTGCTGGATGAAATATGACTAAATTATTAGTAGTAAGATCTTTAACATTTTTTGGTTGTATGTATAAATGAGGATATAAACTACTTGAGTGATAAAAATACAACTAATTTCATTGCATTGACAATTTTGTGATTCTGGAAATCTTTTCTAAACTATAGAATCATTAAAATATCTGTCTTACTACATTACTACTTTAGCCCCTTATTGCAGAATTATTGAGACCTGTTCAGTAATGGTACGCTTATAGGATTATGTTGTATAATTAAGAGTTTTTAGAAAGTATTTTAAATATAAAAAGAAAATAATTTTCTCTGATCTGTGACCCAGGTGTTTCTTCTTATCTGTGACCCAGAAAAATATTATTTCTCTAATCCAAGGTTCTAAACGTAAGTATTGAGCAGCAGTGAGTTACAATTATACTCCCTCTACAACACTAGGACTTATAACACTTGGTTAACTATTATGTCATCTGGCCGAGAATTATAACTAAGTTACAGCTACTCTTAGAAAGCTCAGCATGGTGCTTTCCCTTTCTTTTCCAATTAAACCACCTGGGTGTTGATGCTGGATCTGGTTTTCTTATCTTCATCCCCAGACAAATAAGGATTGGGAACAATATTCCTAATTTACAGTACCTGGACTTAGTGTAAGGGTATAGTGTTACATGCCCTTCCGCATATTTAGACACCTGTCTTCATTAGACTTTTTGGCTTTTGTAAAAGATTGCTAGTCCTACTAACAGCTAGGCTGATGTTAAAGTATAATAGTAAGGCAGAATATCAGATCTAGCATATCTGAGCTCCCTGTGCTGTAGAGAGTACATTTGTTATTTACTTCTGCTCAATACTTGTCAAAACCTTGAATTAGAGAAATAGTAAAAGAATTGCTTGAAACATATTCACCTTTAAGTACTGTACAAGTTACCCTAAGATTAAGTGAGACCAGAGAGCTTATACTAGTATTGTTTTTGCTCCTCAAAGACATGCATTTACTAAATTAAACTTTGGCATTACTATTTGACTACCTTGAAGAATATTATAAAAATAAAATCCTTGTGGGAAAGCTAACTTCTTAAGCCCTAGGTACCAAGCCATTAATGAACAGCCTAACTGCCTTAGACACTTTTTAGTGGAGGGCTTTTCTATTCCTCCAAACCTCCGGAAATCAAAGAGCGAGTTATGTTTTCCTCCTTTCCTTCCCTCTCTCCAGTGCAGAAGAAAGGTCTTTACAGGTCTAGCTGCCTGCCCTAGTCCCTTACAGAATTCTGTATCTTCTCCCAGCTGTGTTTGCTACTTCGGAGCTAGCAAACCAGAAGTTTCAAGGCTAAAGATATTGTTTCAAAATCAGAAAAGAATTAAAGGAGATTTTTATTCTTTTTTTTTTGTCTGTATTATGACTCTTATTTCCTCTCAGGTTTTTACCATGGAGTTTCTCAAAGAACAAAAAGTCATGCTTTCTCCCCCTAACTTTTGTTTTTAACAGGATATTTGTCAAATGCAAAAGATGTGTACAAAAGCATTTTAGCTTCCTATTTGGATGACATTTGGAGACAGCTAGAGATTGTACAATTTATTAAGGGAAAAAAGCCTGAAACCAACTACAAAATACAAGAATTACAATGTCAGATACTAAATTGGATGCAAAGTGAACAGCAAATTAAGGCAAGTACTAGAATGAAGCAGATAACAGTAATTAATTTAAATAAGAACTGAATGTAAGATACATTTTCACACTTAATTTTGAAATTATAAGATAGTCTATGCTATTTGGTCCCTTGACAGTTTTCTTCTTAACTAAATTAACAGAACAAAATCAGACCCAGAGAAAGGATGATTTGCGTCATTATTCATATGTCTCGATTAAAAAAATCATTTTTATCATGCACAGTTCTCTATGGATTGCTTCTCCAAATCTCAAAAATTTTGTCTGATACTTGTAAGTTCATGAACATATACCCAGTAGTAGAACTACAATAATTTATTTTTAGATATTGAACCAAAATCTCACCTTGTGTGATTCTACAAAAAAAATAAAAGCACTTATTTTATGCCTTGGATTATATGGGAAGTTTTTGCTCACCCACCTCAAGGATATGATGGTGGCACTAATAATTATTTAAGAGAAAATGCTTTTTAAACTCTTTTCAAGCACAAAAACATTTCAGGTGTTTTACATAAAATATGGTTACAAATTTGGCTTTTTTTTTCTCTCTGGACCTCCAATATTTTAATCCCCAACTTTATGGTTACTTGGTAACTTGCTTGAGTCTAAAATAAAACAATCAGTAAGAAATTTAAGTTTGAAATGGATTTGTTGTCTCCACTCTCCCCTTGTCCCACCAAAAAGAAAAACTGCAATGGTAGATAGGAAAGTATAGCAGCAAATCATTGGGTTCCTCCAACAAATTCACACAATACAGGCAGAGACAACTTGTGTCTGGAGGGAATCACCTGCATGGGAATACTTGAAGAATGCTAAAAATGTTGTATTGCAAATTTCTTTTCTCATTAATATTTGATCTTAGCAGAATTTATTCCTTTTTATTTAAGCATGATATCTTTTACAGCACAGATATTTACTTTGTAATCTTATTCCCATTAGTGTCATATGACCAATTAAATTAATTTTGTCACTGTAGCAAAACTATGGAAAATAATAACTATTCAAATATTCATATATAAGAAATTCTTATGTTTGGTCAGGTGCTGATTATAATAAGAATGGACTCAGACGGTGAAAAACATTTACTCATTGAAATCCTTAACAAAATGGAAGGTAGGCAGTTTTTAATTATGCATCATTTGATAACATGTTTGAACATAAAAATATTGATTAAACCAAGTTTTAAAATTAAGACATAACTGACACACTAGAAAATGCATCCTTTAAAAGTAAATAACTCAGTGGTATGTAACAGGTTTTTAAATCAATCTGGACTATACATCTACAATATAAATATACTATAATGTATGCTAAATTTAAATAATGTATATATTCTTATCAATTGATATCTTTTATTGAATATCTACTAGTTGCTAAATAATACTATTTACAACAGCTCTATGAATAGGTCTTATTAACTCTATTTTACAAATAAAGAAACTGAAGTTCATAAAGGTGATGTAGTATGCCACATCTCATAGGTACTAAGTGAGGGAATCAGAATTCGAAACTAGGTCTCTCTTGTTCCACTGTCATTCTTCAGTTCACTCTTCTGCCCCCTACTGCTCCCTCTGCCAACCCTTTTGACCTCGTGCTGTGGAACCCATTGCTTATATGTAAACTCTTCTTCACCTCCCTATCTCAAGTGAAACCCAGCTCTCCCCAGATGATACTCCTTCCCGTGTCTTTCTCAGATAGAACCTAGGACGGTCATTTTGTGTGTTTGCAAGATCCTCGTCATGCACTCAACAAGTAATCCGCTTTGGAATCATAGCTAATACAAATCATTATTATTTCAAAGGAATTTAGCTTCTAAAAATATAACCTTATAAATTATAAAAGAATAATCATACTTTCTCCCTTCTTATTGCTACCAAAACTATTGTCATATCAATTCAAGTAAACATGAAATTATTAAGTATTACTTGGTCATTACTACATCATACCATTGTGATCTTTCCAGTTGAAAGAGTACAGTAATAGAGTGTAGAATTTATTTTAACTAGAATTAGTTATTCTTAAATCAGTTATGTCTGTAGAAAATAAACTGTATGTGTAGATACAGAATTTTTTTTTGTTTATTATATTTTCTTAAAAATTAGTCACATGAAATTTAAATTGAAATGCAGTCTCTTGATATTTAGTTATGTACTTAAATTTTTACTGGAGAAAAAAGGTAAAATCTACCATGATATTTAGCAAAATAAAAATAACTGCACAGGATTAGTGAGTAGGTTTTACTTGGTCATTTTTAAATTAAGTTTTTTATCCATTTTATTATTTTACATAATAAATTCAGATTTCCCCTGCTCACACACACACAAAATACACACACCAGAAATATTTCCTACAGTTTAGACTTTCTGCTCCCTAGACTTAGCAAAATAACCACTCAGATTTTATTCATTTTTGTGGTAGTGAAATATATGACATAGCTAAAAATTACATATGAACAAAACCCTGAAAGCCCTGGCCTGTGTAGCTCAGTTGGTTGGAGCATCATTATGTAAATGGAAAGGTTGTGTGTTCAACTCCCAGTGAGGGCACATGCCTAGGCTGCTGGTTTGGTCCCTGGTTGGGGTATTTTTGAGAGGCAACTGTTTGATGTTCTCTCTCAAATTGATTTTTTTCTCTCTGTCCCTCCCTTCCCCTGTCTCTGAAAAAAATCAATAAGCATGTCCTTGGGTTAGGATGGGAAAAAAAACACTGAAAAAAAAAACCCCTTTCTTTCATTACTATTTTTTTCTAACAGGTTTAACATTGACTGTCTTACATCCAAACAAAAGAAGAGACTATCTGGAATCTGAAGGTATTTTAGATGGGTAAGAATATATTTCTTCATCTATGGGGAGCAAACACACAAATTCCACAGGGAAAGCACAATTTCTCCTAGAATTTAACTTTTATAAAAGCTTTAATAAAATCTGAAATTAATCAATGTCTCTACCCTCTTCCTGAAAAATGCTTTACATAGAGCATTTTAATTCATTGTTCATTGCCTTGCGTTATATATTGTTGTTGTCCAGAATTTTAGTTCAATCTTGCTTCAATATCCCTAGACTAGCATTATTATTGTCATTGTCAATATAGAAAGTGCTTATTTAAACTTACAAGATTTTACTAGTTTTTTTGCTCAGCATTATTTCTTGTATTTCCTTCATTTGTTTTGGGTTCTCTCTCATTCTGAAGTACAAAAGTATAAATTCTTTCAGTGAGGCTTGCTAGTGATAAATTTAGTGTTGACTTGTCTAAAACTGTTTTTATTTTGCCTTCTTTTATCTAGAAATTATTTGTTTTTAATATTTATTAGAAATCATTTATTTCTAATTAATAAAAAGAAAAGATGTAAATCAAATAGAAGTTCATAAAAGCTATACATAGATAACCTTTTACTTTTTATCAATCTAGATTGCTCTGGGCAGAAACCAGTGGTAGAGAATTTTAATTTTAGCATGTGCTGTTATATGAAATTCAAAGATGGTGAAGATAACTTAAGTATCCATCTTTTTTGTTGTTGTCAAATCACTTATGAAGCCCATTGGAAAAAAAGTACCCCTATTTCACAGTTGTTAGATAATATGTTATTACATAGTTTCTCAAAGATTAAACCCTTACATTTGTAGGAAAATGAGATTGATTTCTCATGGTGATTTATCTGCTATGGATAAGACTCAGTTAATAATAATATTAAGGACCCTTGCATTTGAGAATGTGGAATAGTCTATAGTTTTTCATATCTGGGTTAAATAAAAAAGTGTGACTGTCAAAAAATATAAAAAGAAAGTAACACAAGTGGAGAACAAATCAACAAAAAATACACCAGTGCTTTTCTAAGATATGTAGACATAGATTAGAGAAGAATAAAATAAGCCCAAAACAGTTATCTTTTAGCATTCCAAGTAAATAATGGTACAAGTATAATTCCATTTTCTTGGCTTTCTTTTGTCTTCAGTACAAGTTCCTGTGTAGTAGTACATAATCAATCTATTGGAGCAGATTTCCCCTGGAGTAAGTTCTCATTTGTCGTGGAATATAATCACGGAGAAAACTCGTGTTGGACTAAACACTGTGAAAAATGGAATATTCCATTCATGGCCTTTAAAGTGATTCTTCCAGACACAGTTCTAAAAAGTAAGAATACAAACCAAAAACTTTTTTTGTCCCATTAGGATGTAAAATTTCTGTTTTCTGTTTCTGATCTATGGGAAGAGAATAAGCTATGTATGTAGAAGACTTGAATTTAAGTTCTAATTTTACCACTATCTATATGACATTGAACAAGTCCTTTAACTATCTCTTATGTCATATTTATCATTTGCAAAGTAAACTATACTGATTATATTTATCTTCATCCCTTTAACTTCTAACTTTTACCTGTAATAACAAAATTTATTATAATTATATCTAATATCAATTTGGTACTCTTATTTTATAGTATGTTATTATTACATTTTAGAAAAAATATGCAATAATATGTGGACTGATTCAGAAAAGTGTTTTTAATAATATGATTCAGAAAAGTTTTAATAAACAACAAAGTATTATACACAAATACTTAGGAAAGAGTCTAAAACCACTTTGTATATCCTTTGGTTTCTTGGTGTTTCTCGCCTCACATGCCTGAGGTGGTGAATCTGAAATTAAACAGCCCGTAGATGTTTCCTCCCAGCGCATCTCTCTTTCAACAGTTCTCATAAGTCACCTTGTGCCCTCCTCAAGCATGGGTGGGAAGTTGGAACTGAGTCGTTTCGACTCAATTCTAAAATATACCATAATTATTGTTTAGAATCCTTGATATTTAGAATTAAATGTTAAATTGATTAAATAATTGAAACATAGGCCCAAGAAAAGAAAAAAGATAAGCATTCTCATTTAGAATTACAGGCTTCTTTCATTCTCTCAAAGATGAACTTAATTAACCAATTCATTATTTGAAGCATTTACAATTCTCCACTATTATACTGTAAAATAAAGTAGTTTTATGTCTTGTACATTTTTATATATTTGTTTTAAGAAATTAGAATTCTAAGAAATAAAATTAATTGCTGGGTCAAAGGTCTATACACATTTATATACTGCCAAATATCCTTCCAGAAATACTATTCCAATTTATGTTTACACAAAAAGTGTGAGAGGATATTTTTCCTTTATCTTTACAATAAGTAGGCAACACTAATCTTTTAAATCTTTGACAAAATTATAGTCAGAAAACATTTTATAGTTGTATTGGTACATTTGTGATTATTCATGTATTTTCATATGTGAATTGATCTTGTATAGCCATTCTTTTGTAAATTGCTTGTTTATATCCATTGTCTGTTGAGCCATTTATTCTTTTCTTATTGATCTGTGTCATTCTTTATGGGTTATTATGCATAATTTCACATTTTGATCAGTTTATATTTACACAGCAAATGTCCAATATACACTTAAATGAATAAAGCAGATTTTAACATTTATGTATATTACTATCCTACTTTTTCTTTTTCTTTTTTAAGTGAGTATACATGTGTGAGTATATGTAAGCAAAGATATAGAAAAAAGTCTGAAAGTATGTACTAAACTTTGTTTTTAGTATATGGTAGTTTTAGTAAATCTGTGAACTCTGTTCATTTCTAGGTAGTAGGATAACATGTGGCTTTTATTTTATTCTTCAGTCCTTTCATTATTCCAATTTCTAATTATTTACAGTGAAAATGTATTATTTTCTTACTACTTGAACATACCTGTTACTCTCATGTTTAATAAAAAAAATAGAAAGAGCTGAGGGATGAGAATAAAGATAAGTATTTATAAATTTTCTCTTATTTAGGAAGCAATTTGCCGGATACTTTTGGTGGTTTTCTTTTGGATATTCAGATTCCATATGTGTTTTTTGCATCTGAAGGACTTCTTAATACTCCAGAAATACTTCAGTTGCTTGAATCCAAGTAAGTTATTGATTTCATAGCTTTAGCAAAGGTATATATATCCTAATGGCTAAACAGTATGCTAAATATACGGCACCATTTCTCTTGGATTCAAGCCTGGTGTTATATTACACAGGAAGTTTTCCAGAAAGTTTATGTCCAAATACATTGCTCTCCTTCTGGTATACCATCTTAATTATTAAATATTATTTTTTGTTAATATAAATCAATTTTGTGGTTTCTGGCCAAGATGGAGGCGTAGAAAGATATGGTTCACTTTCTCACACAACCAAAAGAAGGAAACAGCTCATTTAAAAACAAAAAACAACCATAACTGTGAGAAAATTGAACCGTATGGAAGTCTAACAACTGAGGAGTTAAAGAAACATTTATCAGACAAGTAGGAGGGGCAGAGACAGTCACCAGGAGCAGAGAGAATTGTGGCAAGGTGGTGGCTGATGAACTGGGCAGTCTCATGTTAGCATGCAGGTAAACTGGTAGGAACAACTGGGGAGTGAGACAGACTGAGCAACCCAGGGTTCCAGTGTTGGCAAAATAAAGCCTCAGAACCTCTGGCTATAAAAACTTGTTGGAGTTGTGGCAGCAGGAGGAACTGCCAGTCTCTTGAAAGTGGGGTGAAAGCTGAGCAAGCAGCACTGTTCCCTCTCTGACCCCTCCCCAACATACAGCACCACAACGTAGGAAGTGGCTTGCCCCACCTGGCAAATGCATAAGGCTCTGCCTCTTACAGTGTAACAGGTGCACTGAAACAAAGAAATATGGCCCAGATAAAAGAACAACCAAAATTCCAGAAAAAACCTAAGTGATGAGGAGATGGCCAACCTATCAGATGCAGAGTTCAAAACACTGGTAATCGGGATGCTCACAGAAATGATTGAGTACAGATGCAAGATAAAAGAAGAAGTGAAGGCTATACAAAGTGAAATGAAGGAAGATATACAGGGAACCAACAGTGAAGGGAAGGAAACCGGGACTCAAATCAATGATTTGGAACAAAAAGAAGAAATAAAAATTCAACCAGAACAGAATGAAGAAACAAGAATGCAAAAATTAAGAAGAGGCTTAAAAATCTCTGGGAGAACTTTAAACATTCCAAAATCCAAATCATAGGGGTGCCTGAAAGAGAAGAGGAAGAGCAAGAAATTGAAAACTTACTTGAAAGCATAATGAAGGACAACTTCCCCAATATGGCAAAGGAAATAGACATGCAAGTCCAGGAAGCTCAGAGTTCCAAAGAAGTTAGATCCAAGGAGAAACACACCAAAACACATCATAATTAAATTGCCCAAGGTTAAAGATAAGGAGAGAATTTTAAAAGCAGCAAGAGAAAAGGAGACAGTTACCTACAAAGGAGTTCCCCTATCAGCTGATTTCTCAAACCTTACAGGCAAGAAGGGCCTGGCAGGAAATATTCAAAGTCATGAAAAGCAAGGATCTACTTCCAAGATGACTCTATCCAGCAAAGCTATCATTCAGAATGGAAGGGAAGATAAAGTGTTTCCCAGATAAGGTAAAGTTAAAGGAGTTCATCATCACCAAGGCCTTATTATATGAAATGCTAAAGGGACTTATTTAAGAAATAGAAGATCAAAAACTATGAACAGTAAAATGATAAGGAATTCACAACTCTCCCCACTGAACCTAAGAAACAAAAACAAAAACTAAGCAAACAACTTGAACAGGAACAGAGTCACAGAATTGGAGATCACAAGCAGGGTTATCAGTGGGGAGGGGGAGAGTGAAAATGGGGAAAAAGATACAGGGAATAAGAAGCATAATTGGCAGGTACAAAATAGACAGGGGGAGGTTAAGAATAGTAGAGGAAATTGAGAAGCCAAAGAACTTACAGGAACATTTTATGTGGGTTTATTCTGTGAATTACATGATCAGGATATATCTTGAGTCACTGATAATACAGAGAATGACTATCCTAAGAAAAGAGTGTGACTGTTCTCATTTAGAGGTCTTTAAATACTGCCTGTGAAACAGGACTATAAAGGTCTAAATGAATTTTCAAGTTTTTAGACCTTTAGTTCTAAGATCATACCAGCACTGAGCATTTTAAAATCATATAAAACTTGACCAAAGTACACAGTTGTCACAGGAATAGTAGACAGTGGGCTATATCTCAAGGAGGAATAACGATGCTGTGACCTTAGTTAAAATGCAGATTTATTTTCCATGCTTTTGTATTTATATCTTAAAGCTGTGGGACAGTCACAGAAACTTCTGAGCTACAAAAAGGTAGTTAAAATTTAAGCCAGTTTTAAGGAGAAAGAGAAAATTCTGATAAATGCAGAATATTTAGTCTAATAGCATGATGTTTTGGCTTCATTAATTATTATCTAAAGAACAGAACAAACTGGTCAATACATATGTAATAGTATTAGGTGCAGTACTACTTAGCAAAGTACCTAAGGCAACAAATAGCCAACTAATTTGTTATATATACTGAATAAATCATAATTTCATCCCTCAAATTTGTAATGTAGAATAAATTGATGTATAAAAGAAAAGGCACAGTAGTTCAAATAATTTAATATGTAGGAGGACAATACAGCTTTTCTCAAAAAATTTTCATAGTTATTTCATTATGTCACCCCAAAATATTGTATTTTACAGCTATAACATCACCCTAGTGGAGAGATGCTGCAGTGAGTCACTGAAATTCTTTGGAGGGACGGAGTGCTATGTAGTAGTGACAGTTGATGAACACACTGCCATAATTTTGCAGGTAAAAGTATACAGTAAAAAATATAATCAAATAAATTAAGATATATGTGTAGCCATGTAATTTATTGTTAGCTTTACTATAGCTACAGCTTAACCTTAATCTATTATGATTTCTTCCAAATGTTTGCAAGTGAGGCACAGGTGCCAACACATCATCGTGGAAATACCTGTTACCAAGCTTCTTCGGTGCCTTGTAATTTTTAACATACTTTAAGACAAAGCCAGTACAGAATCTTTAATATTGTTTATGGACCTACTATTAAATATATTTATAGGATAATTAGAGTGTCAGAAACTTTAAAAACTAAATCCTACCCACTATGTTTTTTAAAGGGTGGTGATATGTTAACCCCTGATTGGTAATATAGGATTTCCTGTGAGCTAAGTAGGGAGTGCCTGTAAATAAGCTGGTTTTTAAAAGAGTGAGAAATTCTCGTAAAAAACCCATATAGCTTAGAATTTAAGATGTATAAATTCTTGACTGAATCTCTGATGTTTGCTTGATTGGAGTACAAATCACAAAAAATATATTTTATTTTTTTAATGGGGTGGAATGGGTAGCAAAAACCAGTTTGCTGTTATGGAATATGAATTAATAACAACTATTATGATAAAATGCTAACAATATAAAAGTTATATGATAGAAACGCAAAGCTCTGTCAGAGGGATTCTTAAGAGATATTGTGCCTTGCATCTTTAAGGCTCTTAAAAATAATTATTTGGGGAGAAATGTTTGGGAAAACTCTTTTAATCCATAGTTACATAAATCACTGTAGAATAAGGCACTTCCTTAATATTTACTCTATGAAAAATTGTGTTAAAGGAAAAAGAGAATTCTAGACCATTACATAGAGATTCCTAGAAGTCCATGAACTGCTGCTTTCTCATCTTCCTTAAGGAAGCATTTGGAGCAAATTATCTATTTTAAACACATTTTCTATTGCCTTCAGGAGTAGCCAGATCTCTGTCTACAAAGGACTTTGCCCAAACAGGGGCATTCTGTATGTAGGCTGCTCTCTTCATGTCTAGGACTTTCGGGGACTTGTGAGCCTTTCTTGCTGAAACTGCCACTAGCTGTTTTATGTGGCAGACTCTGGCCAGCAGAGTCTACCTGTTGTGGCTGATGACAAGAATGATTGCACAGGCGGCAACAATCCTATAGGGATTGTTGGAGAAGAAGGGGACAGCATGGCCACTCCCTCAAAAGGAGCGCACTTCGACCCTGCCTAGACAGGCTTTTATTGTTTTCTTCGGGTCTTACATCAGAGAAAGATTTATTATTACATAGAATATTATTGTCTGCATTTTAGGTACAATCAAGGAAATGAAAATAACATGCAGAGGGCAATGGCGATGAGCTGATTAGCTCTGTCTTTGGGAAAGTTTATACAGGCTTTGGATATTATTACCTTGAATACAGATAATACACATTTGTTGTTTTAGACCAGGGTGAGGGAGTTTTAGCAAGAGCAAGACATAAAAATCTGTATGCATTTTCTAGGCCTGATTCCCATGGGAAAACTCGGTTTGAAGGTCTGGCTCCTGCCCACCACTTCGCTTCTGTAGGTTTTCCATACAGAGCTGAGTCACGTTTGCCAGACCAAAACAAACAGGTCCCTTACAGTTTTACATATATTGTAGCTTTTCCCCTACTATTTCTACTGTGATTTTAATTTGTTCCATAAACTAGAAGCCCATACCCACTATTCTTCTCAAGTTATAATTTACATATCATAGATTCTTGAAACATGGTAGCAATAATTTCATAACAACTATTAATCTAGTGAATCTTTTTATTTTATGTATTTTCTGGCAGGATCTAGAAGAACTGAATTGTGAAAAGGCATCAGACAACATCATTATGAGACTGATGGCATTGTCATTCCAGTACAGCTCTTGTTGGGTAATTTTATATGCCAGGAAAACATTGAGCTCAGAGTAAGTAAATATTTCTTCATCTAAAATCACATTCATATTTTTTTTAAAGCTTTTAAGTCCTCTTCTGTGAACAGAAGTAGCCATGCAGATTTTCCACTTGCTCATCTACTTTGGTTTAAGTCAGGGGTTCTCATGGTGGAGGTGTGCCCAGAAGAAAACAAATCAAAATCTTGGAGATGTTTCCCCTGGAAATTCTGTGCAAACCATCCTCCCGCCTCCACCTTTTTAAGGATTTCAGCTTTAAGTGTTTCACTTATCACCTTTAAATTCTGGACTTACCTGTTAGAAGATAGGTGTTTTTTTTTTTAAAGTTGATTGTAGGGAGAGAGAGAGGAAAGGGAGGGGGGAGAAAGAGAGAGAGAGAAGGATCAATCTGTTATTCCACTTATTCATGCATTCATTGGTTACTTCTTGTATGTACCCTGACCAGACATCAAACCTGCAATTTTGGCATATAGGCACAACGGTCCAACCAACTAAAGTAGCTGGCCAGGGCCTAGATAAGTCATTCTTAAATTATTTCTCTCTGAAATTGTTTTAAATACACCAACTAACTAGCATCTTGCTATACTTTCTTTCATAAATGTGCATTATTGAATTACCAAAAAATCCATGCCAAGAGCAGTAAAGGGATGAGTTAAATTTCTCCCCTGCTCCTCCAACACCAGCACCCCCTAGATTTAACAGTATTATTTAAAAAATGGAGGTGGAAATGTTTTTAATCAAAAATGTGCTGAGTAAACAAAGAAACATGGGTCTGCCGTACTAGTATTTTTTTTAGCCAGGTTATTCTAATAACATCATGAAATGTGGACAGCAAAATGAATTTTTAATAAGTATGATCAGATGTCAAATGAGTGGAGGTATAGTAATATAATTCTTTTTAGGTACTATCTTACAGAAAAGACACTTCATCACCTAGCACTGATTTATGCAGCTTTAGTTTCATTTGGGCTAAAATCAGAAGAACTGGATGTAAAGGTATTCTTTTCCTATATGTTTGTTTATAAGTATTTTTCATAAACCAAAATTACACTCAAACTCATAAGCCCAGTAAGAAGAAACATTAAACGGGTAAGCCAAAACTGCTTGAAGGCCAAATAAAGAACAGTTTTCAAAGTAATGAATATTCTTTCCACCTAAGCTTCTGTTTTAAAAGCCTTTAGTTTAATAAATTTAACATTTTTTTATCTCTTAACTACCACTTAGATTTTTGTAACATATCAGGATATAAATAAAAATAAATATATCCCTTGAACAAAAATGCTCACTTACAAAAGATACACTATTATCTGCTGTAAAATGGAAATCTTATGACACATGAATAGAGTAACATTTTGGTAATCTCTAATTAGTCTCCTTTCTTAGTGCTATTTTTCAGTGTCCTTGCTCTGAATTTAGCCATTCCTCCAACCTTAGGACTCAGTATTCTTTTGTACTTTAGAGACTTCCTTAATAAACTCAACCATTCTCACAAATTGCAAAGTGAAAGTTGCACTAACGTTCATTTCTGGGTATAATCCATTAAAATTTCCTCACTTTTGTTAAGGTCTGCATCTTTAGTCTAGCATTCTACTGGAAAGCTCCACTGGACTATCCCATAAGTACCTGAGACTTCGCATGTATTTAATGCAACTTCTCATCCTCTCCCAAATTTAGTCCATGGTATTAGTATTCTCATCTAATCTAGGCTAGATTCTCCTTTTAACTCTGCAGTGCCTTCCCTAGAAGTCTCTTCTTTCTACTCCCACTGCCATTTCCCTAAATTCAGGCCTGCATTACCTCTCACTTGGAGCTTCCTAATTAATCTCTTTTCTACTTTTTCTCCACTCCAGTGTATCATATATGTTGACACCAGTTACATTTTGAAATACGCCTGTAAATATTCACTTCCTAGATAATAGCTTCTGAAGGAACAAGAACATCTTTATTCCTTTTGTATTCCTGGCACCCAGCACAGTACAAGTAGGTACAGAGCAAGTGCCAAGTACACACCAGGCTCTTGATAAATATTTGTTGTTGAGTTGATTTCTCTTGCACAGAAGACCTCCCATAGCTTTCTATTTGATTCAAACTCAGAAAGACTCAAAGTTCACAATGTGACCCCTAGTGATCCTTCATCATTCTACTTGCCATTTCCTGAATAGGCCTCCATTCAATCACCTCTCAGCCATTGCACAAACGTGTCATTCTGGCCTGTCTTTCCCTGAGAATACTAGTCCCCATCCCCTTATTGCCAGCCTTCATCATTCTGTCTTTTTCTTCCCAGTTCAAACACTACTTCTTTAAGAAATTTGCCCCATTATACCCTCTCAGGATAAATCTCCCCTTGTCCTATTCTCTCAATAACACTTTGTCCCTTTGTTATAGTATAAGGTATTCATAATTATAGTATTACTGTAGTATTATAGTATTCATGTACCCTTAACCCTGAAGGGCCATTCTTCTTTGTGAAACCTATAGTATCTAGCACAGTGCTGTGTGCAAAGGAAAAATACTCAACGTCAAATAAGTACAATTAAATCAAAGCACAACCTGTTAAGAAAATCAACAAATGATCTATTTGACATAAAATCCAGATAATTTTGATCCATATTAAACACAGAAATAAAATTCTTAGAAAAGATATCTAAATAAATGAATGGTAAATGTGAATTTGTTTCATTTATTAATTCAAGTGAAGTTTTACCACTTAATCAGCCTCTTCTTCCCAGCTCACAGCAAGCAGTTGTATGTAAAATATGCTTAGTGTCATTTCATTCCTCTGTACACTGAGTACATGACGCCAGAGAGTGGTACTGTATTCAGATAGAGCAACATGGCTTGTAGAGGATATGTTCCAAGGACGGTATTTGGGGATGAAAGAGGAGGTACTGCCCAGGCACACTCCATTCCAAATGAAAGTCTGCTCCCACCTGGGTCAAACTATTTCAAAACCTTTTCAAGTTTTACATAATCTAAAAACTAGGTTGGTTTTTCCACGGAATTTGAGAAACAGCTGTGATCAATTTATTCATACTCTACTATAAATATGAAGGTCTGTCTAGAAAGTATCCAGCTGTGTACTATGAAAAATAGACATTTATTGGACAGGATACGAGAAACATTGTACACAGGACAATGATGCCTCAGTGCATACAATGATGCCTTCAAAGTGCACACCTCACAAAGTGCACCCCACACAGTTGGTGATTCTTCCAATCACCATCAGCTGCCCCGTCGTATTTTCCTGAATCTCATCAATGGTCTGAAATCTCTTTCCTTTCAAAGGTGGTTTTAGTTTTGGGAAAAGCCAGAAGTCACAGGGCACCAAATCTGGGCTGCAAGGGAGCTGAGTCAACTGGGTGATTTGATATTTTGCAAAAAACTCTGTACAAGATGTGATACATAGGCAGGTCCGTTGTAATGAAGCTGCCAATCACTAGTTGCCCATAGCTGCAGCCCTCTGAATCATCTAAATAGCTTCCACAGAGGAATGTTCAAGCTTAACACAAAATCTGATGCAGATTCATTACTCTACTCGCTCAGTCATTTTAAATGTGATGGCCACACCGTACACATGCTCACTCATTGGCATCTAACACCCCCACTGCCTGGTGCAATGAAGTCATTATTCACACATGCACATTCCAGTCCACTGTCCTTGGCTGCCAGGTTACATCGATGTCACACAAACTGTTCTCATTATATTTACAATGGCTAGACTTTTTCCAGACAAATCTCATATGTCACCAACACTCAGACCTCCCATTCTCCTGATTTAATGATATTATTACATTAGAAGGGATTCCCTACATTCATATTGTTTTAGAATATATTGTTGCTTTACCTTAGTTTATTTACTAATATGACTTTTGGCTTTTTAGAGTGCATTAGTATGGATTTTTTTTCAGGCATCTGAAGAGCTTAGCCATAAACAAAGTATTAGGAAATTTAAGTAAATTTTCTTTAACTGAAAGAAAATACTGTTAGTAGTTTTATGCTTTATTTTAATCTAATTTCAAAAAATTCTATAAATCTATTATGACCTGTCTTTCAAAAATGCATAGATGCACACATGTGCAAAATTTGTAAAACAATATTAGGGAATTCTTGATTTTGCTGAAGTCTAGCCATGAGCTCTGCTGTAATAAAGTAGTGTGATAAACACCATCACAAAATTATGCCTTTTAAAATAGAGTTTATATTCAAATAAGAGTGTCAGATAGTCTCAAAACATTCAAAACTTAGCAATGAAATAAATTTGTATCCAAACAGTATATTTCTGTGCACTCTATACATACTTATTATAATTGAAAGAAAATCCTTCGTTAGAATATACATATTCATTCCCCAGGTATGTATGAACAGTTTTATATTTGAAACTCTTCTGAAAGAAAATATTGTTACAATTATTTTGTGAGGTTTGTACAGTCCTTGCTTTTTAAATTTCTACTACAGGACAGGATATTTATATTTCTAAGATATGACTGTTTAGAGTGGTATTTCACTGTCCACATTAAACTGCTAACTCATGAACTATCTTTTCTTCAACTGAACCTAAAAGAAGATAAAGATAGAAGTGAAAGAGGAAGAGAAAGACTGCCATTTCAGAAGGGAGAAGGGCCTGCAGGGAAACACAAGTGACAGACAAGCAGCAGAGGAAAATAAATTTTTTCTTAGCATTTAGTCTAATACACAAACACATTTTTGGTAGGAGTATCTTAGTGTTAAATACAGTAGATTGGATGAGAAATTTCCAAAATGCTGGTGATGGCTACTCTAAATCAAAACCTTACTTTATTTCTTTTTGAACAGAGTTTGAAATTCATCTGCAAATTTCCTTTATTTTTAACTTTGCTTTTGGAAAATATAACACTATATTTTTTAAAGTTCTTGTTTTTAGTGAGAACTATTAAGTTAACCTAGAAGAAGCTTAATATTAAACATCACTAGTGATATCCAAATTGCTTTTTATTCTACTATAAATGAAATATAACAAATATACTTAAAATATTTTATTAATAAATGTCAATGGAGTGTAGAAAACCAGTTTAGTTCCAAAAGTTGGAAACTACAAGGATATCAAATTTAAAGAGAGTAAATTGCTTATGCTTACAAATAAAATATCCTAGATTTCACATAGACATTAATAAATTAATCTAAAATAGTGCTCAGAGATTAGAATCTGGCATTTAAAATTTTTCTTCTAATTATAAACACATTTCCAATGATATATATTGCTTCCTAATATTTCCTACAGCCTAACATTACAAATTTTTTTTAGCTTGTAATTGCCCCTGGAGTAGAAGAGACTGCAGTGATAATTCGACAAATTGCTGACCACAACTTAATGACCTCGAAGAGAGATCCTCATGAATGGTTGGATAAATCCTGGCTTCAAGTTTCACCATCTAAGGTGGTTTATTTCTAAATTAATAAATTAGATATTTATAAAGCAAATATATGTATTTGAATTTTCTTTCTGGTAGAATATTTTTGTCCTCTAATGCTTGCATGAGCATATATGACAATAACTATAATAGACAATATTTACATAGGTCAGTTTCCAGGATCATTGGTACTTTTTAATTTCATAGAACTTTTAATGGGATTTTTACCCTACCCACTAGACCACCAGGGAATCCAGGGGATTTTTAGAACTTTCAAATATAAGTTATTATAGGATGAGCTAATAATGCCAATCCTAATATTTTAAAAAAATAACTATATTTATAGTTCCTAAATATAAACATTTAAAAATAGTAAATTTATTAAGAAAATAACAAAATTTTATCATTTCACGACTTGTCAGTAATTCAATTATAGAATTGTAACCCAAAGTAGAGCTGTGAATACTTATAAGATTGTATAGTTAATTTTTAGAAATTTCTTTGTTTGAGCATAAAAATTTCCAAGATCTCATACCAACTCAGTGTTTCTGTTACCTTTATTTTTTTTATTTTTTTAAAGATTTTATTTATTTATCTTTAGAGGGGACAGGAAGGAGAGAGGGAGAGAAATATCAATGCACGGTTGCCCCTTGTGCATCCCCCTGCTGGGAACTGGCCCGAAACCCAGGCATGCGCCCCGACTAGGAACTGAACCACAATCCCTTGGTTCACAGGCCTGTACTCAATCCACTGAGCCACACCAGCCAGGGCTCTGTTACCTTTATTTTTAAAATATATTCAAATCATGAAGCCATAAAAAGTTGACAGGGCTCTTTGTGTTCTGACATGGAATAGTCTCCAAGATAGATTATTAAGTGAAAACTGAAAGTTGTGGGACAGAGAGCATGTGGTATATTACTATTTGTTTAAAACAAGGGACACTAATATTTATATATGTTTGCTTATAAGTTAATAAAATACCTCTGGGAGGATGACAAGAAGGTAACACTGGCTATCTTCAGACAAGAGAACTTGGAGTGATGGGGTGGGAAGGAGACTTTTTACGTTTCAGTGCCTTTACAATGTTGAACCATGTGACTCTTATACCTATTCAAAACCTAAAATTATAAAACAAATACATAAAATGAAATATTCATATATTCTAAATCACAGGCCTTTTACATGCTTAAACAGAGCACAGTGCTATCAGCAAGTGTGGGTAAAATTAACTATGATGTGTGTGTTTGCAATTTCCTTCCTTCCAAGGTATGTCCATTATGCTCACATCTGTCATTTGATAAAAATCCAAGAGGGTGCAAAAAGCCAGTGCAATCCAGGAAAAAAGGGAATATGGCAACAGTAGAGATGGCTGTTTCATTTCTAGACTTTTATGATATCTCTCTGAAAACACACATTTTTAGACTGTCAAGGTCAGTTCAGGTTGATAGCAGTTCTTCTTATATGCTGTTCACAAAACTTTCCTGAAATTATAACATCTCTTAAATACCATAAACATGATTCATCGTAGTCAAACAGTGATAGTATATGGTCTACAAAGGGAGGTTCTAAACTAAATCCTTGAAAAGATTTCTCTTGAGGAAATGTAGCATTAATTACAGCAATTTTCATGTGAAGAAGGTGAACTGTAGCCGATCTTTTTTGGATGAGTGATGAGACTGAATAAACAAACTTTCAGATCCTTCCCAATTCTAAGAGTGTACAAGTCTTGACTGCGTACAAAAAAATGGGTCAGTCTCAGAAGACCACTGGCTTATTATTCCTAAAACTCTTTTCTAGGAAGAAATGTATTTACTTGATTTTCCATGTATTAGTCCATTGGTGGCTCAGCTCATGTTAAATAAAGGACCTTCTCTTCACTGGATATTATTAGCAACTCTTTGTCAGCTTCAGGAACTCCTACCTGAAGTTCCAGAAAAAGTGTTAAAGGTTAGTTATTCGAGATCTTTATTCTTGTATAGGTTTATTTTCTTTCCATCTGAGTATTTATTTTTACCATAAGGTTTTCAAAATGAAGGTATCCAAGTATAATTGTGATGGACTTCACACAGCAAAGAAATATTTCACTTGACCTCAATTTTATATAGAATTCTCATTGACTGTCAATTGAATTATACGTTAAAGTTATCTTATACAGATAATTCAGTACAGTCAGTTTATCACACTTTAAATCATTTTGAAGTGTTATTGTGGTCCAAATATCAGTTATATACTCTATTCATATTAGTTTATATAATCTCTTCCAAATAATCCTGATACCCTTCATTATAATATTAAAGAGAACTTAATTATGAAAAGAGCCTTATTGGTAAAATTTTTAACTTTATGAAGGAAATGGTATTTATGTGTAACTTATATAACTAAAAATTCTATTATAACTGATTAGAAAATAGATGCAAATTACAATTTTTTTCTCTTAATGTAGACCAATCATGTTATTACATGAGTCAATATAATACCCATGAATGCACTACTTCATTATATTTAGCTTCCCTTCCATATAGATAAGCATTTTTATTTACATTTACTTGACTGCTGTTCATATTTGTATTATATTAATTCATTTTTAATATTTTAGCATTTCTGTGACATCACTTCCTTATTCAAGATTAGTTCTTCTTCCATAACATCACCTCGAATTTCATCACCTGAGGAAACTATGAATCAGAGTAGAACCTTCCCTTCTCAGAGTTCAGCTTCTGGTTCTTCACACTCTGTCATTCAAGAACACACTGAATATTGCCAGTACCCAGACTTAGAAGAGACTGTGCAGAAAGACACAAACACCGCTTCAGATTACAACTCTTGCTTTGTGGGACTAAGGGAAAGAGAAAGGCCATGCGTTTTACCATCTGTGACTTCTTACAGACAGACCAGCTATTGGAAAGACTCCAGTTGTAACCCTGATATAGTACAGAATAATCCCTTCCTGATTAATATGGAATCAAGGAACTCGGCTGGTAACTCCTTTCTAAACCAGAATGATTCACAGACAGATGTCTTTTCTCTGGGTCTAACACAAATGAATTGTGAAACCAGAATATCACCAATCAACAATCAAAAGAGAGTTGCCTCTAATTTTATAAATTCTCAGCAAAAGGGAACACATGAAACAAAAAGACCTATAAATAAAGAAGTATCTGCCCCTATGTTTTCATTAGAATACTCTCAACCTCCTGCTCATTGGAACTATAAGAAAAATGTATGGGAACAAGAGAATCACTCTTTCAATTTACAATGCAGTGCAGAGCAGACTATGTATGACAAATGGTACTCTCAGAAAGAAAACCTGTACACTATTCAGCAAAAGTGTCTATCAAATGAGTTGGGCTCCACAGGCAAAAGTTCAAATGCTGAGACTCATGAGACTTTCTGGGAAGAATTACCATCTGTCCCCGGTTTGGATTTATTTTGTTCGTCTGATCCTAACCTAAATCAAAAAGAATTCAACAGTCTTTATTTCCACCAAAGAGATGGAACATGTTTAGGACAGAAAAGGCATGCTGAATTTTCATCTAACTCAGGAGACCAGAAATCATTAACAGGTAACATTATTCAGTAGATGATAAATTCAGTAGATGATGTTTTCAAATGTAATTTAAAATAATATAACCATCTCCAAAATATTTTTTTTGTTTTAATTACTATACTTGAAGAATCTTCAATAACTTTTGGTTCAAAGAGAAAACCAAAATTCTAATTATAGATATCTAAGAAAATAAATGTAAAGAAAAGATGTCAAATTCTTGTAGCTTGAGATGGACTAAGCATTCAACTTCAAAAGTGAAAAACACAGAACTCTAAAGAGAGCAGAAGACCAAAATTAACAAAGATTAAACAGAAATCAGTAAATTAGAAAATTAATTTTTTTAAGATTTTATTTAATTTTTGAGAGAGGGGACAGGAAGGAGAAAGAGAGGGAGAGAAACATCAATGTCTGGTTGCCTCTTGCATGCCCCCTACTAGGAACCTGGCCCACAGCCCAAGCATGTGCCCTGACTGGAAATCAAACCCTTGACCCTTTGGTTCACAGTCCAGCACTCAATCCACAGGCCACACCAGACAGAGCAGGAAATTAATTTATTTGTCAGGCAGGGATACTTAATGAGCTCAAGTTTATTAAGAGTTTATTATCCGCCAGGTGCTGTTCTAAGCTCTTTATGTGGATTATTTACTTCTGACAATCCTATTAAACAGATACTCTTAACTCTATTGTGCAGTTGATGTTTCTGAACATCTAATAATATCAGTTTTTTGAAGGAAAACTTTATTTTCTCATTTCTGGTAATTATATCTTTCTTTTCTGTCATTATTTATTGCGTTGGCCTGGACATCTAGAACAAAATATTAAGTTTTAATGGTCATACAAGATCAGAACAAAAAGAAGAAAAAGAAAGAGAAGCTCTTGATTCAAAGCTCCTCTTTTGTATAGGCCCCTTTGTAAGGCCTGAGAGCGGCCCAGAAAATCTTGTATTCTTTATTAAAAGAGGACCTCCCAGATTGTATAAGCCCCAGGATCCACAAAACTTGGGTTGGGTCCCTTTCAACAGTTACAATTTGTTTTGTTCCTGATTTTAATGAAAAGTATTCTATTCCTAGTTTTGTAAGAACTGTTGTGAGGAATAGATGCTGAATTTTATCCAAACTCCTTTTGGCACCTATCAGAGAAAATCCAACATGTTTTCTCCATTGACCTATTCATGTCAAGGATTATATTTACAAGTTTAATAATATTAAGTCATTTTTGCCATTTCTGTAATAAACCTAATTGGCTTTTGAGGAGTGGTTTTTAAGATATGTTGTTGAACGTGGTTGCTAATATTTATGATTTTCTTATCTACATTCATAATGAAATTATTGTGTTAGTTGTACTCTCGCATTTTGATATGAAGTTTACTCCAGCCTCATAAATGAACTGGATGAGAATTTCATTTTTATTCATCCTGGAACAAAATAAGCATGGAAATTCCTGTTCTCGAACATAGAGCCCCCAGTATAGCATAATCCTCCCATTTTTTCAATGAGATTTCAGTAAATATATTAAAATATATTTTAATATTTAAGCTTTAGGGACATAGATGGAATAGTCAAATAACTACACATTTTTTCCATTAATTTAGTTATAAATATGTATTTTTAAGTCATATATAAGTAATGGTTAAAATATTGAAAATATATTTTTAAATACATCAATTTTTTCCACTTTCCCATTATTTCCATAAAATAATTTTATTTTAATGGTTCACATAAATCTTTGATGTTGGCATCTTCATCACCACTACGGCAATGTTTTTACCGTGGTCTCCATAGCACATAATTGCCTCCAAATGTGTCGGTTCAGATATAACACATTCCAAATTCATATTGATGCAGCTCTGGAACATTTATCCAAAGCCTTTGGCATAACCTCCACATAATTTCCATTTGTTCAATAGATGTACGTTTGTGATATCTATCATGAAATTATCTACTACGTTGTCTTCTTTAAATTTGCTTATAATTACATCCAATTCTTGCAATTATGAGATTTTTATCTCCAGGAATAATTACTAAAATGGTTTTAAATTTTTAGCCTCTTTTTTTTACTGATTTAATCACTGAACTTTCAAAGTATTCAAATCTAGGCTATTTTAGGCTTACATATAACATAACATATATAATACAGTTTTTTAAGGTGAGTCCATACATCATCCCACATATCACATAACAGCTCAGAATAAATTCTACAACATCACGGATATGGGTTAAGAAACAGGCTGACTGTGGGAAAACTTAGAAGTAAGAATCTTAAATGAAGGAAGATTTACTTATTTGTGCAAGGTATGAGCATACAGATGTGTGTCTATAGCACTAATTACTACTGGACCATTAGGTATAGGTACATTTATGCTAAAAATATAATTTAATAGTCACTATTTTATGCCAGTTGGAAAATTTTAAAACTTTGACAGGATCCATTTGATTAGCTGGAAAAAACAGCTACACTGTATTATTACCAGCAATAAATGGTTTTCCTTTTTCTCTTTTTAACAGAGTCCACGTGCTTACAACGACCACAATCCAAAAAACAGCGTCTAGTGTATGAAAAAGTCCCCGGTAGAGTCGATGGACAAACTCGTCTGAGGTTTTATTGAAAAAGAAAGAATAGTCCTACATGTCACATTCCATTGTTTTTGTTGATAACCCAGTAACGAACTAATTTAGATTTGGTCACACATGAAAGAAAATACAACTGTTCATAGATGTTCTCGGTTTTCAATATTAAATTCTCATAATATATATTCTGCCCTATACTTTGCATTCTTTGTAAGTTAAATACTCTAATTAGCATAATTGTCTTAAGATCCAAATATCTCCAGATTCACCTAAACATTGCAAAGTCTTCTTTAAAAGAAATAGAAAACTTTATTGTGCATCAAAGGCTTATTCAGTTGTCTTCTGAAGGGCCTACTGACTCCAGCTTTCCCCGCCACCCCCCCACCGCCTCCAGCACCACTTCTAAATGAGCCTCCATCTTAGTCTGACCCTTTGAGTCGAGAAGTGAAGATCACACCCTGACCCGTGTGGCCCAGTGGGTTGGGTGACGTCCCGCGAGGCGGAAAGGTCACCTGTTTGATTCCAGGGTGCACAGACGACCGACTCATGTTTCCCTCTCACATCGATGTTTCTCTCCCCTTTACAAAAGGGAAGATTACCAGTCAGTCAATCCTCCATCACTACTAAGAAAGTTAAAACCTAAGGCAAAATTGAAGTTAGAGAACTTCCAATTTAAAGTATATTTGTAAACGAAATTTAAAACAAATTACTAAGAGGAAAATATTGCAACTCACATAATAGAAAAAGGGTTTGCACTCCTATTATACAAAGAATTCATACAAATTGATAGGAAGACAACAGCCTAATGGAAGAACGGGCAAAATACATGAATAGACATTCCACAAAAACAGCCAGTAAACATTTGAAACAATGTTAGGCAAATGCAAATTAAAACAATATGTTACTGGGGGTTTTTTTGCTTATCAGATCAGCAAAATTTTGAAAGTTCAGAATGTCCAAAACCCAGACATTACCTTACTTGGAGTCTGGCCAGTGTTTGATACTGTTAATCACATCCACCTTTTTGAAACAGGCTGTTTGACCTCATACCATTTGTCCCGCTGTCTCTTTCTATCCTCTTTCTACTGCACTTATTTTAGGGGATGTTTGGGTTTGCTTGAATATGTAGGGAGTGGAGACTTTAAGGAGGAACTATTCCTGGAAATCTAATTAGAATTTCTCCTCCACTTCCTTAAGTTTTGACAGGATTGCTCCTAAGGTAAGGCTAGGGCTTCCCAGAATGCACACCTTTATCCTATTTTTAGTTAGCTTCTAGAGTGGAAAGAGTCTCTTCATAGGCAATAGACTGAGGCAAATCTTGAGGCTGAGCTTCAACACCTGCCTCGCTGCTTCCTCACCAAATGCAGTGGAAGCAACTGAGTCCTCCTGCTGTGTTTCTCAGTGATGCTTGCTGATAGAGTGAGCTCAGCACCATCAGAGCACTCCCAGGGAGTAACTGTCACCTGAGAGCTGCAGCTGGTCCACGAGCAGAGCCTGAAGGGTCTGGACGGACCCTTGTGAGGGGCCAGAAGTGTCGGTTCAGCCTCCAAGATCCTCTTCCAAACACCCAGTCACATAGAATTGTTTGCAACAGCCCCAAACTTTCCCAGACTGGCTGTTGCAATAAAAACTTCAATTCTTTCTCTGAGAGCATTTCATTGCTTTATGAGGTTTTTCATGTTCTAAGGAGAGTTACTTGCATTTAGACTCATTGCTGGTGATAGTGATGCAGACCTTTGAGGTATTGTGAGAAGCCTTACTCCAAGTTCCTAGGCCCGGCTCAAACTTTGTAGGCCTCTCCAGGACCTCACGTCTCTTCCGCGTGCGTGCGGGTGGACGTAAGAGACTCCTCCCCTTTCCACTGCGGCTCAGCGTACAACTGGGGATCAGCAACAGGGTGTCCCACACCTTTCCTCTCATTGTAGGGCCCCGGGTACTGTCCCCAAATATTGAGCCCCACCCTGAAACAAGGGATCAACAAACGGAGTAGTGTGAGTGGAAGGCAGTGGGGCGCACAAACTACCAAAGTAAGTGCTGAAAAAATGCCTTTTTCTGTCTTTTGCTTTTTTGTTATTTTTACTGTACAACAGTTACTAATTCAATACTTAATTTAAATTCCTTATTTATATAAATTACTTAAGTTTAATTTGATATAGTCAAGTATATGCATCTTTTTTGATTTCTGGGTTTCCTGTCTTGCTTGCTTAGTGAAGACCTCTTCTACCCTAAAGTTGTACAATTATTATCCTAATTATTCTTCTAATGCTTTTGTATTATGTCTTTAACCCCCGTGGATATTTTTACATAGTGTAATATCGGCCCAATGTATTTCCTTCCCGATGGACAGGCAGTAACGGCAGCACCATTTATTGAGTAAACCATACTTTCCCACTGAACAGGAAAAAACTCAAGTCTATTTCTGAACGATTATGACCCATTCATCTACCTGCCTATTGGTACACACAATAAAATTTTTTATTTTGGATTTTCTTTTCAAATTTTTTATCTTTTTAATTATATTGTCTTGATTCAGCAGATTTAAAGTTAAGTTTTAATAATGAGTGAGGCAAGTTTCACCCTTTCTGTAGAACGACACACAGCCACACAAGGTTTAAAAACTCTTCTTGGACGCTTGATTTTTCCACGTGAACTTTTAGATATTTTACCACTTTTCCTCAAAAACAATAAAATAGGAATGCCACAAAATTTATATGAAATTTAGATTTCATAAAATTGCATTTTAATGAAATTGCCTTAACATTCTGTAATTTATGTAGACCCTGTTCTGTAAACATCAATACCTTTTCTTGGACTTGCAACTCTTGTTAAATTTATTCTCAAGTTTTTTTGTATCATTTTGCCATTCAAGTAGAACTGGGATATGGTTTCCATTTCCACTTTTAACTAGCTATTACCAGTGTAGAAATGCTGTTTTTCTCCATTTATACTTTGAATCCAGAAAGTCTTCCAAATTCTGTTATAAGTTCAAGTATTTCTTTTACTAGATTCTATGAGTTTTTAAGGTGTGCAATTATATAACCATATATATAGATATTAGTCCTAACATGTTTACTCCATTTCATTTTTTCATCTTACCACATTGCTTAATAATTCCAAGCAATGCCGAATAGTGATGATAAAAGATAGTCTTCTTTTATTCCTAATATGCTGAATGTTTCTACTTTTCACCATGTAGTATAAATTTTCCTGTTGGCTTTGACAAACTGTCTTTATCATTAATTTTTTCCCATTCTATTTTCACTAATTCACTCAGCTTTTATTCAGAACAGCTATTAAATTTTATCGAATAACTTGTGGACATAGATTCTCCTCTTTAAACCATTCATGAAATGAATTACATCGATAGGTTTCCTTACAGCAAAAATAGCTTTATCAGATTGTATCTTTCTTGATATACTACTAAATTTGATTTGCTTATATTTAGGGCATTTATTTCTTGCTTCTATTTAGGGCATTTATTCCTTGTACTATCTTACCAAGAGTTTGCCAAAGGAAAAAGTGGAATAAAGAGGTTTCTGTGGGTATTTTTTAACATACAAAAGACTGCATGTAATTAACATATGCAACTCGATGAGCAGATGAGGGAGACCACCCTCAGGATCTATGCCCTGACCCTATTCGGCACCTCCAAAGTTTTCTTCTGCCCTCTGTTTTTTTGTGTTAAGAATAGGTAACATTAAATCTACCTTCTTAGAAAGTTTTTAAGTATACTTGTACAGTACAGTATTGTTAACTACAGCCACTATGCTGTACAACAGATCTCTAGGAGTTACTCAACTTGTAAACCAAAATTTGTGTGTTAATGGAAATTTTTTTCAATGCTATTGTTAAGATTGAGAATGGAACATGCTTAAAAGCTGATAGAAAAGGCCCAGTGAAGAAGATGAAGTGGAGGAGAGAAAGGATAATTGATAGTGTGACATTTCAGAGACAGTGAACAGATACAGAGAACAGTACAAGGGTTCGAAAGGGGAGACGGACTTATGATTGGATGAAAGGAGCTCGCAGTGGTTAGACTGGGAAGTTCAGTGGCCAGAAATGAAGGGAATTCCCATCTAATGGCTTCTATCGTCTGTACTGTCACAATACTTATGCTCAAAAATACTTTTTTATTTATTTATGGTCTTATACATAGTTATTTCAAGAGCAAATGTCAGTAACAGATATTTCTGTATGTTAGACATATATCTGTTTTTACAAACTTCTACAAGTGTTTACACAGGATGTTACCTCTCATTTCCAGCACGCAATCCACAAGCAAACAGAAATTCATGAAGCCCTAAAACAAAATCAGGCACACAGAATGTTGCTGTTGTAGAAAATGATGAGTTAAGCAGAAATTTTATTTCCAAGCTCTTTAAAGATTATCACAAACACAAAGTATTCTTTTGAAAGTGTCTCAAATGAAATCAAAGGCACAACATGAAAGTAAAACATGACATTAAAAATTCAATTAGTTTGTAAAACATTCACATTACTTTGTTTTTAATCACTTGCAATGTTCTGTAAGTCACATTTTAAATGTTTTTCAAAGACATGAAATAAGGTAGGACTAAGTACAGCCACAACACCAGAGGGGCTTAGGAAGAGCTGTGGTCACACACAGAACCAGGAGATCGAATACGTGGTGCATTCATCGTTCCAATGAGTTTGCTAAGAAACAGCTTCCATGTTTAGTGTTAAAAATAAAAGTCTTCTCACTTACAAAAATTAAGACAGCATTTGATTAATAAAGCCTATTCTTCCCACAATTTTACACTGGCTTATCTTCATTTAGAAATTGTAAATTCATGAGAAAGGGACAAATTTTTTTATCGTGTAAAAATCTTAGGAACAACAAAATTCCAAATATTGAGTTTTTTAATAGACAAAAATGGTTTATTTTCCAAAATGTAAACATCCAGTAAATAAAACATACATCATATTCCAGGTATAGAAACACTAGTAATTCCCTTGTGAAAGAGGTGCATTTTTGTATATTTGGTGGTAAGGTTTCTGCCTTAAGTATAAAGCACTTCACCAGACAAACTGGGCCATTATTACTTAAAACTCTTCTCCTTCACCCAGTTTCATTATTTGAGTTGAAACATCAATTTCTGTAGAATTTTGGCGATAGGACCAGGCCACTGGGAAGGTCTGAGATACCTAAAAGTCATTTGGTTGG